ACAAGACTTCACAGACAAGATTTTAGGATGGAAAAATCCAAAATGGCCAACAATAAAAAAGTGATTATAAGTTTTTGCTGATTTCTTTTTACAAAATTATCACATATAACTACTGTTTACAATAACATAGGCTTTTACAAGAAAGTACATCTGAAATTATTTATAAAGCTACTAAATAGTTCAAGTATGGAAACTCAAAAACACCATTCAATATGATACAAAGTATTATCGCGCGCTTACTTTTCTTAAGACATTCAAAATGGCTGCCATGACTGAGCTAACAGGTCCAAAACCTAATCAGAACTAGAATGAAGTGAGCTGAACAAGATGTTAAAGTTTTAAAAGCAACTGTGAAGCCGTTTTTCTTAAAGTCCCCGTCTAAAGTTTGAAAATATTTTTTTATCATTCATTTACTATTTATCAGGACTTAAAAAGTGATTTTAGAGAATTTTGAACAAAAAAAAAATTTTGCAAAAAAAGTTGTGAGCATTTCATTTCTCAAATATTCAAATTTCCCGCCATTTTTCAAAAATAGTTGAAATTTCTTAATCATCAAATATTTCTTAATGCATTTCAAAAAAGATTATCTTTTTAACACCAATGCAAAGGTTGAACAAAGGACACACTATTTCAATAATAAAATGCCATATTTAATGGGCCACTTCAATGTTTTAGCATATCAAAAATATTTTGAAACATTAGTGATGTCACTAAGGTACCAAAAACTTTTTGAAAAAAATTGAATTTTTTTTTTCAATGTCAATCTTTTCTAAATATGTTAGACTTTCATAAAAAACCAATGTTGATTGTCTAACCAGGTTAAAAGGAAGAATAAATTATGTTTTAGATTTCATTGTACCATTGGTTTCTATGAGAACTGAAATTTTGAAATGCATTTTTCTCAGAACCATTTTCATGCACTGATAAGTTCATTTCTCGCTTATTTATGAACCGATTTTCTTCATTTTTTCGGCAAAAAAACATGGGAGGATAAATGCTATGCATTGTTATGAATTGTGGCTAATTAGAAGATATGAGTGACCTCTAAAAGTTGGTTTTAAATAAATTCACAAATTTTGGAACAAAAAGTCTATCAAAAACCACTTATTGAAATTAAAAAAAAAAGCTTCACATATCACACTTTGATTACATTGGGTAAGACTACAATAACTTTATATGGGGCCTTTAAAGTTTGCAGACAAGAATTTTAGCATTTGACTTCAAAATGGCCGACAGGAAGTAGGTTTCGAGTTAAAAAATTTTCATCCACATCAGTATATGCACTCATAAGTTATCCCTGAAAATTTGGAGGTGATATCTGTAGCGGTTTTGGAGAAAACTCCCGGACGTAAGGACGGACAGACAGACGCGCCTAGGCCGACAATATGGTCCCACACTATGTGGTGGGGACATAAAAACAAACTAAAATATACAAAAGTTAGGATAAATCTAAATGTTTCTATTTTTACATAAATTGTTTCAATATGGTGACTTGATTGCTTATTTTTTAAATTCAAAGTACTCACAAACATTAGACTACTGTTTTGACCTAGGGCCCGGGTATACAGTCATTAATAAAAAATCAGTGTTATTCTTATTCAATGTAAGTAATATAGTAATATAGTGAAAGAGAGGTAGGTCACTTCGATCAGTAGGATCCCTAATCCAACTGTATTTCGTTCGCACTGGACGAAACCACAAAATTCTTTCGCCATGAAGGTCCAGGAATGATTTTTCTTTGGTAATTTCTACAATCCTGACATCTTTCTTTTCTCATTGTAGTTAAAAACGCAAAGAAACACGCTTGCGAACTCTGCCAGGACACTTTTCCCAGGTCAAGAAGAAGTGAATTATTTCAACGCTTTTCATTGGCTTAGAAATGACCTCTACGTCATCAAGAGGTCAAGTTATTTATACCGGCCGCCATCTTTAAAATTCACTTACGAACTAAAACTTTTATGCAGATATGTTGATTCTTACGAATATCTTAGTTTTATACGACTTCTGTTTGAAAGAAAAAGATACAATATACTAGGGATTGTCATTTAGGTTAAAAAAGATCGACATATTTGCAGAAAATGAGGGTAAAATCCCCGTATTACAATTTCATTTCCCGGGAAATTACGTAGCATCACAAGTGTAATAATTAAATGAAGACCCCTTTATTATTCAATCATATCTAAAAATACAAACAAAACATAAACATATTATTTCGGAATTTATTTACAACTAAAAAATACCTAAAATGGAACTTTCAAATCCAAAATGAACAACCAATCAAAATGCAGTTCGGCCTTCATCTCTTAGTAAACATCCAAAGTGTCCTGGCAGACTTTGGTTGTTCGTTTTTGTAACAATTTACCTTATACGTCGGTTGTTGTGATAAACTGTTCTTATTTCTTTGTTTAATTATTAAGTGTTATATGTTGACGAGGGTTTCCTGTAATGTTAAAGAAATATATGCTGTATGTACCGAGATACACTGATATGAACATAGTGGCCCCTGGATTTTCTTGTGTAGAACACTATCGAAGTGAACTACCTCTCTATTAATATACATGTATACACCACGCATTACCAACTCAGTACACTAGGGGACTTTTTAAACATTTTTAACGTATATTCCTGGGCCTCAGCCTGAGGCTCAGGTTTTGACAAATCCATAACTTACAGTGGGGGGCATAAAGAATTACAAAACCTATGGAAACTACATGTACATGTTGTCGCATATGTAATAAATTCTTACCTCAGTGTATTCAGTGCTCTATTTTCTCCGTCATAGTAAGTCCAGATATAGTGGAATTTGTGTCCATAATGACAAATAAGAACTTAAAAATTTGATGTGGAATTCACATGTTAATGCCGACTCTTCAAATGTTGAGGTGATTTTGGAGCCAGATTACGCCGCAATGTGGGTTGGCTCCCAGAATGCAACATGACACGTGTCAGCTTTCAAAATGCCATTTCACCGTTTTGAAACACGTCACGAATAAATAAGGTTACTTGATGTTGCATTCTGGGAGTCAATCCTCCTTGGATCACAAACATGGCGATTCATGAAAACATTAGTCCGATTTGGTAGGGATTTATCCATCATTTGCAGGTATGAGGCTTTGGATTCATTTATTGTGCTACTTAAAGTGGATGGGAATTATTTTTCTACCACTTGGGAGAGTTTGAGACATGAAACTTAGAATTTAGCTCATTGTGACAACTTTTGAGGGTTGAGATTTATTTTTGTCCCCCACTTTAAATCTTATCTAAATGATCTGTCAACTTAAACACTAACCAGAGCTGATCAGATTAGATCAGAACTTTGCAGTTATCTGGAGGACTAACTATTCAATCTTCAGCGGTAGAATCGTAGTATTCTATGGAAAACTTGGTTCAACTTCAGCACGCCACTTTGTTTTTGTCTTTGGACGGCCACATTGGACTTCTCTAAATGCAGGAGTGTGACACGGAATCATTTCGTCTGAATAACCAGAATGGGGAATCAGAATAAAACGAAAACACTACATATCAAAAAGACTGCTTACTATTTATATGATCCCGGAACTGTATAACTAAGGGCCTACTGGGGCTCAGGAAAGGGGGTCATTGGGGGCAACTTTTATGGGCCCAGAAAAATAGTTATGGGTCCGCCCAAAAATGTTGTAGAGCCTCAATAAGTGAGCTTTTTTGGCATGATTGAATCTGTGCCATATAAAGATGGCAGCACCATTTGACAGAATCCACTATTATAATTTCCATGCCATCTTTATATTAAAAGTTATTTCTATCGACGTTAGCCTTAGCCAAAAAAGGCCTTAAGGCCTCAAAAGGTGGGCCTTTTGGTCATTACCAGGCCTTCTAAGACCTTGTTTTTTAATTTCAGGCCAAATTTTTAAAAAATGGGCCTCATTTTTTCTAAATTTTCGGTTTTAGGGGCCCAACATTTTTTAAGGGCCCAAAAATTTTTTCGCGGAATTTTTTCTATGACCGGAAATTTGGCCCGCCCCCTCCCCCACTTGTTGATTCCTGGATCCGCCCCTGCTAGGCCCGGGGGATTCACCGTATAGGCCTATACATTTTGGCAGTCCTTATGGGCTGAACCCTCAGATATCAATATGTTCCCAAACCAGTCTGTCAAATTTCAATGTGTTCCCATACCAACCAAAATAACGCCCAAAACCCATACCAAATGTCCAAATCAGTATATGACCAATGCTTTACCAAATGTCCAAAGTAGATGAAAGCTAATGTTTCAACTGAAGAAGGCAGATCTATTAAGAACTGCTCCAAAACAAACTCGAATTAAGGAAATGTGTAGGCCTAACTACGAGATCAATACCATACCACTAGTGTGAGGTAGTGTAGGCTTACATATTTTCCGAGGTACTATTCTCATACCAAAAAGTGGAAAAATCTGACCATTGGCATACCTCAAAATTCACAATTTTGTGGGCATTTTCATACCAGATCCTAAAATTTAGGTCCATCGCTATACCAAATGTCAAAGAAGGTGCCCCACGACCATATGCGCCGAGGATTCCCGTAAAGGTTTATAGTGAACCCCCGGGGTTGTAGGCCTTATTCTTTACCTTTTGAACTTTTTCTTATTTGAAATGTTCCTCCTCGCTTGCTTCTGGAACCACCCATTTATCACAGGCTGGTATCGAAAGATTTGTCCGCTGTGACGGAGCATGATATTTTTCATAAAAACTCTAAGAATACTTCACGATTTATTTTCTAACTCATATGTTTCGTCAGGTTATATCAAAGAAAATTACTTAATCCGTAACACTAGGAGTAAAAGCTATCGAAAACGGCGGCAGAGTATCAAACTCTAAAATGTACCTTTTCTTTTGTAACTTTTTAATGGCATGATAGTATTAACATATGTTTTCAGCATAACTCTGAATGTATGAATGAGATGGGTATTTTTAATTCTTTCATGAAAAATAATGTTTACATTTTTGTCCGCTGTGATGGAGCAGTTTCACAGTTCACATTTGCAGCTGCTCCGTCACAGCGGACAAAAAAAATTAAACATTATTTTTTGTAAAAGAATTAAAAAGACCCAATACATCAACATCTCATTTCGTTATGGGAACGTAAATTTAAATGAACATCCCTCATTCGAAATATAAAAAAATCATATAAATAACAGCCACTTAATGGACTTTCCGCCCTAAAAAACACGCATGAGTATTAATAATTCCATCTGGCTCGGAGGCCAAGGTTAAAAATACGGTTTATATTTAAAATTGAAGAAAATCCACTTCAGTAAGAGGGAAATAATCAAGAACAGCTTATCACCATGAAATTTCAGCGTGTCTTGGTATTTTGTGGCGTAGCAGTGTGTCTCATGCAGATTGCTGCGGGAGCTGGACGCGGGCGGCCGACAAGTAAGTAGTTGTCGTACTTGGAAATCCGTTTTGGTATGTTTTTATGTTCATAGTGGTAGTGGTAACTCTTTGTTAAGATTAATTGTTTTAATCAATCTTGCGTTGTTTCGTTACCAATTGTATTTATTTTGTTGCATTGCAATGATTACACTGATTACCTTACGTCTTAATGTGTATATGCTTCTTAATCCTATTGCTATGCTTTCTGTTTTATAAATTATATTGTGCTGCATTCACTTATTTTCTTGTTTTATATCGTATTATATTATATATTTATATCAAAGTATATTACATTATAGTATATCATACAGGGTGACCCAAAAAAATGCAACCCTCCATTTCTCGAATATTTTTCTTAAATGGAGGTTAATTGCTCTGAAATTTGGCACACAAGGACTTCATTCAATGTGGGATATTCTGGCAAAGTTTCAATAATCATTGTTTTATATTGATAGAGTTATGGTCGTTCCAAAATATGCTCCAAATGTCGTCAATTTCCAATGTTATGTTTTCGGATGAGTCACATTCCCTTCTTTCTGAACATGTAGACTCAAGGAATAATATGTTCTGGGATCACAAATTCCAGGTAAAGTGCTTCACAGGCCCCTACATGCTGTTAAATGCACAGCTTGGGCTGCCAATTTCCAAACATGAAATCATCAGCCCCTTTTGGTTTGAGGTTGATAATGGCAACACTGTTACTGTTAACACACAGCGCAATATTGGCGTTCCCAGGCAGTTTTAGAGTGACACAGAGGCTTCAAAAGACAAGAACAGTGGTTCTAGAAGGATGGAGCTATTCCTCACACTTCTAATGATAGCATAGCCTGGCTCACTAGTCATTTCTATGAGAAGATTATCTCTCCTAGGATGGAGGACCCATGGTCATCCCACAGTCTTGATCTCAATGCCTCTGACTTCTATATACGGGGTTATTTAAAGGTTAATGTGTATGAAAATAACCCTACCGCAATTGCAGAACTCCAATAAGCAATGACTGGAAAAATTTGAGCCATACCCATGGGGAAGAATGCATACATGTTATGAACAGTTTTCCTTGAACATTGCACGTTTGTTTTCAGCGAAATTGACGACATCTGGAGCATATTTTGAAACAACCATAACTCTATCAATATAAGACTATGATTATTAAAACTTTGCCAAAGGAACCCACATAGAATGAAGTCCTTGTGTGCCAAATCTCCGAGCAATTTACCTCCATTTAAGAAAAATATTGACGAAATGGAAGGTTGCATTTTTTTGGGTCACCCTGTATTATATTACATTATATTATATCATATTTTATTACATTATATTATATCATATTACTTATATTACATTATATTTTATCATGTTATATTAAATTACATCGTAGGTAGTCAGAATGATGGCTCAAAAGTGCCAGGAAAGTACTTTTTAATGTACCACCAGTTGCAACATATTCTCGAATTTGGTACCGTTGGAAAGCTTGTGGTGCCTAGATTTGAGATCCACTTGTTAGCGATTACGAAATGTGGGCCGAATGTGTCTAAAACGCCCGTTTCCATGGTAACCACAAAAATATTTGTTTTTATGCATAACTTTACTAATATTGCTTGATTTTAATGAAATTGGTATCAAATTAACGAGAATTAAAACTCCCATTTTTGAAAATAAAGTTATGCAAATTAGCTCATTTGCATATTGATGGTGACGTCATCACTGCATTATTTTGCGTATTTTTGATAAACGAGTATATTTATTTCAGTACAGTAGTGTACAGTTACAACATATTCATGAATTTGGTACTGTGTGAAAGTTTGTAGTGTGTAGTTTTGAGATTCACTTGAAAGTAATTACAAAAAGTGGCCCAAATGTGTCTAGAATGCCTGTTTCCATAGTAACCACAAAATTACAGTGTTAATAATCACAAAATATTTTTTATGCATAACTTTACTGAAATTGCTCCGATTTTGATGAAATTGGTATCACGTTAAAGAGAATTAAAAGTTCCATTTTTGAAAATAACATATATGCAAGTTAGCTCATTTGCATATTGATTTTGAAGTCACAACTGCATTATTTTGCATATTTTTTAGATAAATGAGTATATTTATTTCAGTACGGTAATTTGAAGTAACAGCATATGAATGAATTTGGTACGATCAGAAAGCTCATGATTTCTAGTCTTAAGATCTGTTTAATAGCAATTATGAAAAGTGGACCGAATGTGTCTAAAATGCCCATTTCCATGGTAACCACAAAAACATGGTGTTAATAAGCAGAAAATGTTTTCTCATGCATTACTTTACTAATATTGCTCCGATTTTGATGAGATTGGTATTAAATTAAAGAGAATTAAAAGTTCTATAAATATTCAATTATATTATATTATATTAATAAAGCTAGAAATGTAGATATTAAAAAAGCACATGGCAGTCATCTTGAAAAATGGCGGCCTTTACTCGTTATTTTACGATTTTTGCTGTAACTTGAAAAGTAGTGGAGCGATTTTGTTCATATTTGGTATGTGAATACTATAAGCATGGCACACTGTCCAATGACACTTTTGGTAGAAGGCGGCCATTTTGAAAAATGGCCGCCATTTAAACATATTTTACTATAACTCGAAAAGTATGGGAGTGATTTTGTTCATATTTGGTATGTGAATACTATAAGCATGGCACACTGCCTAATGATACTTTTGGTAGAAGGTAGCCATTTTGAAAAATGGCTGCCATTTTTGCTATATACTTTGTTTGTAAAAATGCCACCCATGGCTGTTCGATGGGATTCGCTACGCTTTGGCGTTGCCGTTGTTCTGGTTGCCTTTGAATTCATTAGTTTTCCTTTTATTTTGTTGGTTAAAGTTAAGAAAGTTGCATCTTTGTATGTTACAGGATGCAGACCCCGACGGACGATTTTGTTTAAGTTAAAAGCTGGTTCTTCTTACGACTTCACGACGCAGATGACATTCTACAATTGGTGTCAACTTTTCGTTCCAAATGTCTGCCCGCTTACGTGCGCAAACGTTGATGGATTATGCCCCTCTGTAGAACCAACGAATGGCGAAGTCCGGGTAACTGGTACTAACGGTGTGAATCTCAACCCGTTTACAGAATCCGGGAACAGTGTTGGGTGCTACAACCCGAAGTCCATTGCAGAATACAAATGGACATATCATGCCGGTGTATCTTCTGGACAAGATTCATTTTACCTTGCTACACCTGGAGGGAACGATCATCAGCTCTACAAAGTTCTTATTCGCTGAGCTATCTCAGTTTTGAATGAAATAACTAATAAGGTTTACTTTTTATTCCTCTCCAGCTGACCCAATGTTATAGTCATTATCTACTTTGCCACCAGAAGGTAGTTATTAATCATAAGGAGAAAAATCTCAGTAATTGCTTGAACAATCTTTTAACAAAAATCGTTTGAAAACTATGTGAAATAGATATGGGTTGCCACATTGGTATCGATCATTTCAATTTGGCTAGCTAATGGTCATATGTTTTTTTTTCAAACGAATTCGCAGTCTCTCTTTTTTGCAATAACACATGCTATTTTAAGAGTGACGAACGCTAACACAAGTAACAGTGAATTGAATTAGCTTTTTAAGATACTTTCCGAGGAGGATTGGCTTCCAGAGTGCAACATTGATATTCTGTCCCATATATGGACATGTCGTGCTTCAAAATTCGAATTCCAACAGCCGTTTTGTTCATTTCAACATTTGAATCGTGAATTTTGGTCTTATTTCCTCACGAAAAATTCATCTACTTCGATTCTGGGAGCCAATCCTCCTTGGATACGGTGAGACAAAGGATGATATTTGAACGAAGTATTTTGTATATTCAAATATATGATTGGAAACGAACTGGATACAGTAGCAAGAAAAGGTTCCCATCCATCTCTTCATATCAAGATATTGCACATGTATATCACTTTATACATAAAAATTAGAAATAAATCATAAATAAATAAAAGGTCAAGTGTCAGAATATAGGTCAAATCAAAATGATCAAAGTTTCTCAAAGTTTGATACTACACTTTTATATTTTTACTTGAAATGTTGTATACATATATTACTATTGCATTAATGTTAGCCAATTACCGTCTGGACAAAGGTCCATGTGATGTATGGAATACTTTCTGGGCAAAATACAGTGGTTTTTATTAAAACAGTATGTTTTCTTTTGAGTGAAGTCCCCACGACGATAAAAATATCAATCAAACAATTCGAAGAATAATTATGAATAGATCCATGTCAACATTTTTCCAAAATGTTGAGTGTATTTACTCAAAAGTGAATCTTCTTTTTTCTGATTTTATCGCATGGAAAGATTATGCACCAACTGGTCTCAAACGTCTCTTGAAGTAGCATTGTTTGAAGGTCTAGTTTTAGATCTAGAGATATCAATTTTCGATGACGAGAATTATATACTGAAAACAATGGTTAGCAAAAAATAACATGTGATATGTGGTTTCTAACTTTAGCGCAATTCAAACACCACCCCCAACCTGATATGTTTGATATGTTAAATTGAGAAAAACAAGATCCTCTTTTTAGAAAATAAGCCTGCCATTTTTAAAAAGACCCAATCCATAATTTTCAGAGAGATTGATTGATATTTTACTATCTTTTATTGCCATCACATTGTAGCCAACCTTCATGGTGAACGATATGATTGTCTGGAATCACTTGCCATACCTCATTTGGTCCTTTTGCCTAGATTTTGAGATATTGGATTAATATATTTTACATATACGTATATTCGGATAAGGAACCTCATTGCCAACATACAATGAGCAATTCTGACACTATAATATGCCCAGACACTCGCCTCTACTTCTTCGTACACTTTAACAACTCGTACATTGTTCAACATATTCCAACATACATACATCCATAAGGGTGCAAAATACTCAATGTTACAATATATCTTAAATTCATGATCTACTAGATGACTGCTATTTATCAAATTGTATTAATCATTTTGAATTTCATACCCATTAACGAAGCAACTTGTTATCAGGGGTCATTACATTACAATAAATTTTAAAGGAACTCTGTGTTTATCACTTCGAATTCATGATTTATCGAGTTTAAGTTGTTCCAGACTAGTTACCTTGAATTGATACCATGACATGTTTACCAAATTGTATTTGTAAAGAAAGAGAGTGCTAAATTCAATGCCAAATTAAATGAATCGAATCCAGGACCTTTCGCTCGCAAGGTAGACACACTGCCAACAAGGGCTAGTCACTACAGCTTAGCGACTTGTTATCGAAGGTCATTACACCATCCCCCTGGAAGACGACGTCCCGTCGTAACTGATCATGATTCACAAGGAAAATCCCCATCACTGTAACGTCCATTTAGCACATCCGTCAGAGAGCTGTAGTGTAACAAGCCAGACACCAAACTTGAAACACAGTTTGAAAAGGAGTGTGCTAAATTCAATGCCCAGTGTGGGAATCAAACCCAGGAACTTTCGTTTGAAAGGCAGACGCTTTACCCCTGAATCATAAGGGCTAGCCACTACAGCTGAGACTGTTATAGAAGGTCATTACATATTCATCATTTTTATATTACATACCTAGCGAAGGAACTTGTCATTGAAGGTCATTACCCAGGGGCGTCAGAAGGATTTGCCAAGGGAGGATGCGACTTTTAGATGGGTCGTGCGTGAAGCGTGGATCGGGGGGGGGGGGAGCATGCCCCCAGAAAATGTTCAGATTAAGACCCTCTCTGATTCTAGTGCATTCTGAAGATATCTCAGCACAATATTCCCAAGAAGAAAAATAAGAAAAATTGTGTTTTTAGAAAACAAGCTTGACTTTGGCTAAAAAAACGTTGATTTTTACTATACTTAACATTTTGCACTTATTCTCCAAAGTAGCCTATTTACATACTGTATGGGTTCCTGAGAAACTTTGGTATAGAATTAGATATAATATGAGAAATGAGATCTATGCTTGATGTACACTAGATTATGGCATAGATAGTAAGATTTGGAAAGGTCACCCCTTACGCCCGCCCCCCCCCCACCCCCCTTCCTACGCCAATGCTACGTTTCAGTAAATGTTAAAAGCACTGTATTTATCACTTCGAATTTATGATCTATCAGGTTAAGGTTGTTCCAGTCTAGCTACTTTGAATTTATACTATGACAGATGTCTACAACTTATGCTTTATATTATTATGCTCTACATAGTACATACCCAGCGAAGCATTTGTAATATAATGTGGGACAATGTAGCTGAATGTCGACTATATATCCTTGTGTAGCCGGCGAACTTTTTTCCACAAGTTTAGTGGACTCCCGGGAGAGTGCATAATAAACTAAGATTTTACAAATTAATCGCTTCAACATTTGGTATGTAAATGAAATTCAGTAAAATAATTTGCCAGCATTGCTTGGAATTTGAATAATGCCCTTTGAAATAATTGGACGTGTCGCGCGGATGAATATTATTTGGTGTAAACTCTCTGTAATCCATATAAACAATGTGATCGGAATCATTTTAACTAGTATCTTTATCTGAAATGCAATGTAAAATGTATATGGTATGCAATACAACCGCCGTAAGTTTGGGCAATATTGACGACAGATAAAACACAAATGAGGACACATTAGAAACAGGAGGACATCAGTACAATAAAATACAAATGGGAGTCCAAGACATATTACCTCATAGAGCACACCACAGAGCTAACCAAAATGTTTAAAAAGGCCTTGGTTAAAAATGTAATGTCCTGTAAGAACCAGTATTCTTACTTTTGAAAAGAGATTCTACCAATACTCCACCGGTAGTATCCAAAGCCCCGCTATGATTTAAAAGTCGCGAGCAAGTTCCCGCTGAAATAGCGAGGAATAAAAAAGTGATGGGTTGTCTTTTGTTTACTTGAATTGTATGATGTACAAAACGTTTTCTTTTTAATTTTCCGCAATGATTACATGGTATTGAGACTAAAAAGGCAACTGATGGAAAAAAGTATCACGAGTACTAGAGGGGTCGTTCTGTGGTTCTTTATTTGACAATTGAAGAGAGAAAAGTATCATCTTGAATCTTTATCTATATATTTTTATACGTTATAGGTGAAGAACGACGTTGTCCTGTGGTTGAAATAATGGTAGTGATTTGAAATAAAAATGTACTGAGTTTCACTTCCTAAAGCTTTACAGAACACTTTATATTTCAATTTTATCATATCTCTCAAGGCCCAGCTTCTAGCGGAGCAAAAAAGCAAAGACCCCGCTGAAATCATGAGGAGGCCCCGCTGAAAACATGAGGAGGTCCCGCTGAAAACAGGAGCAAGTGTCTCTCAAAAATGGAATGAATCCTGATTATACCGCGAAAATCTCCCACTATCGTACCCAGCTTGATCCACTATTTTACCCAGTTTCATGAATACATCATTTGTTGATACAATTCTCAAAAACAGCAAATACTGTATTGATATAGTACATATTATGATACGTTGTAATGGAAAAATGTGATGAGAATTAGATCGGATGAAATGTTAAACGTTTAACCTCATTTTCATAATTACGATATGAACATAAATGTTGTTGATTTTACGCATCAAATCTAATTAATTCAACTGTTTGAAAAGTAAGTGGAATTCCATCATTTATGAGTACAAGTCGATATTTAGTAAGATTCATGCGTAAGCTAAAACGATTAAGTCAGAAAAATGTTCAGTTATACTATTTTTGTCTCAATCTCCTGTTGTCAGCTTAGATACTCACTCACTCACTTACTCAACCACCCACTAACTCACTCACTTTTTCCCTTCCTTTTCAGAAATGAACGAACGCACAAAAGAATGCAAAAAGTATTTACCAACAAATAACGAACGAACCCAAGCACGGACGCACGCAGGAACGAAGGCATGCACGAATAAATGCACACATGAATAAACGGTCAGACGAACGTACCCACGCACACACGAACGGTCGTTTGAACGCACAAACCGACGGCTAGACAAACACGCGCAAAAACGACCAGACGAACGCACGCATCGACGGACGGTCGAAAGAATGCACGCACGGACGAAAGGACGTTTAGATAGACGCACTCATGAATGAATGGACAGTCGGACGAAAACAAGCACGAACGGACGATCGGACGAACGCATGTACGCACGAACGAACGGTCGAACGAATGCACGAACGAACGGCCGGTAGAACAAACGCACGCACGAACGAACGGACGGTCGGACGAACGCACACTCGAACGAATGGATGGTCGGACGAACGCACGCACGCGCTAACGATCGGACGGACGAACGACGGTGGGACAAACAAACGCACGAATGAACGTGACGGGCGCTGTCACGAACGGACGGTTTGACGATCGCACGAATGGACGATTTGACTATCGCACGAAAGCACGAACGAACGAACGAACAAACGGTCAGACGAACGCATGCCTGAGCGAACGAATTTCGAACGAACGCACCAACGAACAAACGGAAGGTCGAACAAACGCACACACGAACGTACGGTCGGACGAACGCATGCACGAACGAACGAACGGTCGGACGAATGCACGCAAGAATGGACGGCCAGAAGAACAAATACATGTGTCCTCAGAAATTTCTTGGAACATAAAATTATATAGAATTTACATTTAACTGTACAAATGTACAAAGTCTGTTTACACATTTAAGATTTTTTTTCATGACGACGCTAACAGATGGATCAAACTGCCTGAATTTGCAGAAGAAATAGTTCCGATGTTGCCATTGATATGTTATATGCTATTAATACGTTATTGGCACGTTCTTGTACGTTCATATAAAGAAACTCAATATCTTCATTGAATAATAATGAAGCTTTCCTCACGATCGAAGCGGGAGCTCCTCATGTTTTCAGCGGGACCTCCTCATGTTTTCAGCGGGGCCACTGAAACACCTTTAATGATATATTTCGACCCCCATGGCAGACGTAATTGCACAGTTACTTATCAATACAGACCATATTGATCCAATATGTATTATGGAGTATGTAAATCGTATTTATTGCCTTTATTTTAACGATAAAAGTAATATATGAACAGTAAATTATGCAAACGTGCATGTTGACGCCCCTCTTTTCAATGCCAGTGAAGAAGAATCATTTTTATGTCATTGTTTGTCAAATGTATCTGTTTTTAAAGTATTGCTGGAGTATGGAAGAACAGTAATAAGTATTTTCACCCTTTTTTGTCCATTTTCCAAAGTGATGCAAATAAACAGAACTATACTCGCGATTTCAGCGGGAACTTGCTCGCGACTTTGAAATCATAGCGGGACTTTGGATACTACCCGTGAATACTCTCTCATATGAATCTACTTGTGAGAGATTTCAGCAAAGTTGTATTGACTTGTATCGAAACAGTCGACTTTAAACGTCCTACATACCACATGAATCACTATTTCCAGTTCTTTCATCTCCCATGCAAGATTTTCCTTTACAACATTCAAGTATATTCATAACTTAAATTAATAATTGAACCTAATTTAAAATAGACCAGGAAACCTTTTATTTGAAATAATACTGGGTAAACGTAAATTCATTTCGTAGTTAAAGGCTGGATCCAAAATGCTCGTATTGACTTTCAAGCGTCAACTACGTTATAGTACTCGACTACTTGACTGATGAAAGTATCATCTGGAACAGTAAATGAAGAGGGGTTCGGTTCCCCCCCCCCCTGACCAAAATTTCTTTCAAAATCATGCAGTTTTTCACCATTCTGACTATTTTTGGAGTGATTTTTGCCAAAGTGAACCACCCCCTAGAATTTTTTGGAAAAGTGAAACCCCCTTGGAAAATTCTACTCGTAAGATAATTTTGTCATCACATGGCCTTCATTTCTCTATACGCAGATATTGGCTTGTCTCTCCATGTCATGAATACATCTTTGAATCATGTGTGGGCTCTGGCGGAGAGCAGCAATCTCATTGGTGATTCTTTTTTATCTGTTGTAATGTCTAAAACTTGGTCCAAAGCAGATTTTGGCTCATCGTGCAAAAGTAATCAATATTCAATGGTCTGTGGTCATGCATATATGAATAAATGACATACCATTTGAAAGAGGAGACATGTGGCTTCATGGTAAAATAAATGAAATTAATGTAATCATTGCTGGTTTTGTGGTTTTACAGGGTTTTTGCTTGTTGTGTTTTTTGATAGTGACTATACACAAAGTCATTGAAGAGGTTATCAAATAGTTGGAATCATAGTGACTATACACAAAGTCATTGAAGAGGTTATCAAATAGTTGGAATCATAGTGACTATACACAAAGTCATTGAAGAGGTTATCAAATAGTTGGAATCATAGTGACTATACACAAAGTCATTGAAGAGGTTATCAAATAGTTGGAATCATAGTGACTATACACAAAGTCATTGAAGAGGTTATCAAATAGTTTGGAATCATAGTGATTATACACAAAGTCATTGAAGAGGTTATCAAATAGTTGGAATCATAGTGACTATACACAAAGTCATTGAAGAGAATAGTTGGAATCATAGTGACTATACACAAAGTCATTGAAGAGGTTATCAAAAAGTTATAATCCTGGGCAGATTTTCTAGTCGATGAATAAATATTCATAAGAGGAAGGATATCATAGCTTCTTCAATTATTCTTTATTAACTTCAAATTTCGTCACTCAAAGACATTGCAGTTGCTAGGGCAACTCTTAAGGGTCAACTTTTCGCCCAAGCCTCGACGTTTTTGTAAAAATAAATGAAACTATGAATATACATGTATTTATACATTTTATATTTATATGGATATTCAAGATTAACGTAAAATGTACGTAAACATTTCCAACATTATGTGATAAAAACGACATTTATACCAATAAAAACCATGGTGGCTTGTATATGGTGTTTACATTTCACCTCAAAGGTATACATTTCAGGGCAAGATATGTTACCACGACAACCTTGTGTAACTTAAAACACATATTTCATCTGGAATGTGGCTAATAAGGCAGTGACTTGAGGCAAAGTGTTACACCTCGCATGATCTTGTAATGAGAGTGACAAAATATTAAAATCAAACAGTCTAAACCACGAAAATGTGTATAGATATACGTAAATGGGCAATTGTGCTAATCCTAAAGTTCCTATTCTAATCCCCTATTAACCCATTTACGCTTACCTACGAGATAGTTTCATCTATTCGTATACGTGCATAATTCAATATTACGTTATCAACTTTATATATGATCCTGGCATAAAATATCAAACAATTACAGCTCTAGATCTTTCTCTCATTTTTATTTGGTTCCTGTAATATCTTGAACTGATTGTGTTATTACCAGTATGTACATGTCTGCATATTGTTCCATTGTTCCTATATATTACCATATTCTACAACGCAGAGTGAAATAATTCGAGCTTAAAATAGATGTACTTGATGTTAGGCTATGGCCAATCCGATGGAATCCAACAACTAAGGTTCCTTCACATCACATCAATTTCGCCAAAACGCCATCCTCTACGTGGCTTTCTTCAAAGTCATCAGGAGTCTCCCAGGTCGGACCGTCATCAAATAATTCATTTCCAGATGGGCCATCCCAAATGTCGAGTTTCACAATAAATCCTGCAACAGAATGTTGGTTTATACGGTACGTATAAATCGTAAAACCACAAAACCAACAATGAATGCAATTTCATTCACTGCTTGAAGCCATGTTCCCCCTCTTTTCAATGATAGTTATCTAAATTGGGTCGTGGTTAACTGAATTACATAAACACGAGGGGAAAGAGTACCCGTGTATATACAACCTACCGCCGAGCAAAGACCCGAAGATGTCTGAAAATGTAGGGGGTGAGTTATAAACTTTTGTTTATATCTTGAATTTCTCAATATGAGAAACAGATAAAACACAGAATTGTGTGTAACTGATAGAGTTATTGTTCCAGGCACTCATGTTTGCAAAATAATGAGTACTTAGCGCAATGTTTACTATCCAATCGCTAAATTCAACTTTTAAATATTTGAATGATGATTTACATCTTGGAATAAGTAACAACCATGGCTGTCTATACTTCATTCGATTCAAAGATACAATATGTGTAAATGTATCATATTTATTTCACTGCCATACGTTGCATATCATTGAAATCACCGGTGAAAGTTGAAAATGAAAGACCCGATTATGTCACGAGTACGATTATATAGGACCCGAAGCTACCACCGAGCTATTCCGACTATACCGTGAGGAGAACCCGATGAGGTAGTGAGTAAGCTTTCGAATGAGCATATAATATCATGAGGATATCACAAATATTCCTTTTTATTTATCACATACTCCTGGTACCGGGATATAATATTATATGATATAATTCCCGCAGCACTATACGTCAACGTCTGTTTCCGGCAAAGTTCTTTAAAACATTGAATTCATGCTTACACTTGAATCACCATAATTTCCCATGTGTCTATGGTAAGAGTGCAACCCAAAAACATTTAATTCTGCATTGCAAGCGCCATTCTACTCAAAGAACACAACTTGAAGAATCCCAAGCTTCACAAGCTTCATATCCTCGAAACGAAAATTACCGTGATCTTTCTTTGATAATGCAATACCATAGTCAAAAACATTGTAAATCCATTTTATGCCATTTAACTCAGGCACATTAACGTTAATACTCAGTAATGGATGGTGCTGACTGAAGTGGACCACAAAGTCATCCATCTCGTGTGATTTATAACTACAGTGGAAGCATTTGTACCGAGGACTTGAAATACAATGTTTCGATGTGCAGTGGTAACTGGTGATAGCCATATTTTTTTCAGTTTCATTTATTGTTCACAACAAAATGATTCACATAAATGATGCAGATTGTATGTTTATTATTTTTTCATCAGCACGTCATAAACTCGACGATATAATTGGATCTCAAGAGATTTTACTCAAGTAATGTTCGGATTCTGAGATCCTTTACTCAAGATATTTTCGGATCTTTATAATATTACTCGTCGATCACATCGGGTCCGATGTCCGATAACCTCGGGTCTTTTAGGACAAAGTTTAAGTGAAGATTTTGCTGTTCAAAAGTGCTATTTTGACCTAATATTTTGACACTTAATATATTATGCATATGCACATCCATTTACCGACCCAAGTATGTCTTATGTATGGCTCAGTATCAATTAAAGCGAGTATGAATGAGAAAAACAAATTGAAAACCATTATACGTTTACCTTATCTCTTAATTTGGACATAAAAATATATTTCAACTATAATTCTAGGCCAATTGCGCCTGCTAGAACATCTTAGTAACAACTCTAACCATCCAAAGGAATTGTTAATGACATTATATTACCTTTATTGTCCATTTTCCTACGAGATGACATTATCAAACATTTGCTCGGCGGTATGTGCGTGTCTTGCTCGGCGGTAGGTTGTATATACACGGGTACTCTTTCCCCTCGTGATAAATGTATCATTGGACCAAGTTTAAGACCTTGCAAAATTGAGTGCACGGGTCTGGTGCTATTTGGATTCACAGAATATTCAAGTTAGCTGTAATAATAGCAGGCAACGAGAGCAGACATATACACAAACCTGTTATGATGCCACCGATAATTGCAACAACCAGAGTCATTGCCAAAGCTGCAGCTTGCATGCCCGCCTGTACACTTGCAGTTCTACCATCCCCGGCGTCGATAGTAAACACATTATTAATCTCAAGAAGTTCCGTCGTGTTAAACACTGGTGCCCGGGCTGGGAAAGTAATGTACAAACTGAAATACATTATGGTTTTACAAAAGTGAGACTGAAATACATGGTCTACAAAAGTGAGACTGAAATACATGGTCTACGTGAGATTTGTTCAAATATTTCTTTTCATGCATTCATATTATATGTGTGTATATCAATTGCACAAGTGCACCATCATCCGACCATAGTTAGGTTAATGTTTATAATGATAAAACGGACAATGATATGATGCCGTGAACCAGCAGATCAGAATATGCTAATAAAAGCAGATTATCTATCTATCTTGAAGTATGGCTTGATGAACCTTTTTATGAAATGATTAAATACTATATGCCTGACTTCATGATCGTTTACCTTTTCCCGTACATATCCTCTGTCGCGACAGCTGCTGCAACGATCCCGCCAAGGCCGGCTAGTATTCCAGGCATTCCATGAAGATTGTTGACTCCACAAGTGTCATGGATCTTGAGCTTATTTGCCAAAAATGGCTAAAACAATGAATTAAGATCAGGGTTTGAATGAATATTTCTATTACTGGTATAATGAAAACTGTATATCAGAGTTTTTAGCAGGGATTTGAAATACCTTGTATATGCAGAACAGATTAAGTGTAACTTACAGTGATGTATTTGTAACCAACGACAGACAATGTGCCTGCCACAGCACCGATTACAAGAGCACCAAACGGTTCAATCATCATATCAGCGCATGTGCCGACAGCAACACCACCCGCTAAAGTAGAATTTTGGATATGCACCTAAAACGAAAACAACAAATATACAACTTTTTCTTTGTTTTCTGTCTCTGTTTTCTTCAACGAGGGTAGGCCTAAAACATCATGTCGTCATGTCAAGCAACGTGCTCACCATATCAAACTTGCTTTCTTCGCTCAGGACGGCTGATATTGCAAATGAGACAACGCAGCAAGAGGCGAGGGCGAGGTATGTGTTGATGACAGCCCTGTGTTGGTCGTCCCCGACTGCAAGAGCACTATTAAAGCTTGGCCAGTACATCCACAAAAAGAGAGTACCTAAAGCGGGTTGAAAAACACATTGCTACGTATTGAGCTGCATAAAATACATTTTTCTGATAAATCATGAATTACCGTCCATGCGTAATAAATAAAAATATGATTACTCAGCAAAATATTTTGTATTTATATTTTGTAAGATCAGATACACGAATCATCCACTGATTATATTCATATGTCGTTTAAATATTACACACCTATCATAGCGAATATATCTGAGTGATATACAGAGCCCTCTTTTTTCGATTCCTCGATGTCTACCTTGTAAAGTACCCGAGAGGCCGCCAGGCCAAAGTAAGCGCCAAATACGTGAACAAACATTGAACCACCTACATCAGCTACCTGACGAAATGAGAAAAATGAAACGAATGAAAACCTATTGTAACTGAGTATTCAACAAATTCTTACGAACACGTATAGTACTTCCTTCCTCGGATCATAGAATTTAGACGGGTAGAGACACACTATGTTCATTGCGGCCGTGTATAAAAATCTGCATCTGCAAAAATCTGCATTTGTGACTTGGGTTATTGATTTTTGAAGGATTTGACGCAAATGTTTTTTCTATTCGTGAGTTAATTACCTAGTTCACCAAAGAATACAAACAATTAATTCCCAAAGCTTTACAAAAAACTTGTAAAAGTCAGCGCCTGCGACTGGTCCACCGTGAGAAGTCGTATGTAATAAACATACACGTATCTCACAGAAAATACTTACCTTAATAAAAGTGAGTCCGACCCATTCATTGAGAGTAAAGAAGACGATCTCCAGTAAGGCAATAACGATTAACTGAAGGGGACTGGTCTTCCCCAACAAGGCACCAAACGTGATCAGTACGGCAGCGGCAGAAAAATCGGCTGTCACCAACCTGAATATAAAACCAAAATGTTTTCAGCGTTAGCCAGACTGACGCCGTTTTCGGTAAGGTTTGCGTCTAATCTCTGGACCCCGATGGACTATCCTACCAACGAGGCGTTGAAAGACTATTTTGGGACGGGATCTAAGTTGTTGGCAATTTAAGAGTTCTGTCAAATTGTGCCTGGTAGACAATACTTAGCTCTGGCATTACATATAGTTCTGTTTCTATTGGCTCACTATTGGCCCCCTCATTTGCTCTTACTATCACTACGAAGCAGTTCGATGTTGCTTACCCTTTTATGGAGAGTTCGATTTGTCCATCATGGAGGTGCAAGAAGCCAGAGAGGAGGATGGACCACTGGATGACAAAGGCAGCAATGAGCATGTTGAGACCAACACTGCTGAACCCATATCGCTTCAGGAAAGTCATCAGGAACCCGAAACCAACGAAGATCATAACATGTACATCTTGGAACACTGGAAAATACGTAAAACTATGAGCTAGTTTTTAGATTTTGTGACTGTAGCTGTATTTGTATATATGTTATATACAGTGTACAGGGTGTCCCGAAAGTATGGGGCACCCCCTAGGCAGACATACCCCAATGTTCCCATAGTATGTGTCATATATCATTTTAAAGCTTATCCAAAGTTACATTGATTTGCCAAGTATTATCGTTCAACTTACAAATGGGAAAAAGTTACAGGCATTTCAAAACTTAGTGTTTGGCCAAAATTAAAGTTAAAAATTAGTATCCTGGAAACACCGCTAACCTGAATGAGACCAAAAATATGGGGGCTATCGTTAGAGAGAGGATGGATATTGAGTTGTAAAAAGAGGTCGGTAAGGGCAGATACTCCAAAGAAACTCTCTCAAACGCCTTAAAAAGGACTATTAAATGCCATACCCCATTTGCAGTGTATTTAAGGTCATATCTGGAAAGAATTGCTGCTGTGAACAAGGGAGACACGGCGGCTATTAATTTTGTGTAAAACTAAACTTTAATTTGGTAAAACACTACATTTTGAAATGTGTGTAACTTTTTCCGGTTTGTTAGTTGAACCATGATACTTGGCAAATCAATGTAACATTGGGCAAGCTTTAAAATCATATATGATACATACTATGGGGACATTGGTGTATGTCTGCCTAGGGGGGGGGGCATACTTTCGGGACACCCTGTATATATGACGTAGGTCAGTACCCACCTTACCTTGTATGCATCACCATGCGTATGTTCTACGAATTATTTTGACATATATTTTGGGATTTCGGGAATAGTTATTTGGTCTTCTTGTCATCCCGAAGAATGAAATCCCAAATCTTTTTCGTATCTCGTATTATTCCCATCGCATTGACCTGCACTTATATACCAATGTTTAAAACGTTCATGAAAGTATGTTGATCTAGTTGTTATGCCATGAATTCCAAAATAGTTCGGAACATTCAAGCCTTTTTTCATATTTTTACAAATATTTTTTATGTTATGAGAAGCAGTAGGTGGTTAAAACGATGCGCTACTTTACTATTTTTGACCAACACCACCGCCTGGTGAATAAACAATCAATGGAGGGCATTCAATATCTCTATGGTAATCTACATACACCTATGAAGTATTAAATTATGTTCATTGGTGGAGCACGGTGGCTTAAGGACACGAATGATTTGTACCAGCTGAAACCTCATTCAACAACCATTCAAATCAAATGTGGTCAAACACATATATGATAGTGTCAGTCAAAAATAAGGAATGGTTCAAGCAAAGTTCGGGTAAGTTGACCTTTGGTAAGTACATCTAGTGAGCTCCCGTGAAGGTTGATAATCGTAAGTAAATCGAATCAAACTGCATGAAACCATGGGCTTTCAACTCTAATTGAAAGCCCGTGATGAAACATTGCTCTATGTAATTGAGTGCCCGGAATTATCCGAACAATGGACGAGGCAATCCTCGGCATGATACGTATATTCAAAAGACTCCGAGGGAAGTTTAAAACTGTTCCCTTAACTTCGAATACAACCTTCCTCAAACATCAGTTTACTAAATGTACATTAAAACTAAAACGGTCTTTCTTGCCTTTTTAAAATGCGTTATTCTTTTGTACCATGGCCCTGGTAAATGCTCGACGTTTAATCAAAACGTTATAGAATATACCACTTTAGGATTTCCGTTTTTAACAGTTGTACAGTAAAACATTTATGCCAAATCCCAAATCACGGTATTTTGCCCAGAATCTTATGAGATGCTGTTATAACAAAATTCAAAAGTTCAATGTAGGATTATAAACTGTATTTGCACAGTTAATCTATGACGTCCCTACCTACCCCTCATAACCGTGTTTGAGAAACGTAGTGATATTTTTGTTTTTAAAGTTACCCTATATATCTAACATAACATGTAATTAATGGCCTCATTCGATCTTGACCAGATCTCATTGACAAAACGTTCATATTTGCCACTTTGATTGACATAGACAGGCTTCAGAACGCTCATTTTTAGTTTAATTTCATTTAGTTGTGTTCATGTTTTTTATTTATCGTCCCAGAAATGCACTGGACGAGAATAGCATGCACTAATAAAATTCCCGGGAACGATGTCGGAACGGCAACTTTCAAGGCTATTGACCCCCTCTCTCCCTAACTATGCATCCTCCTAAGCAGGTATCCAGAATCCGTACCTCCTTCTTCCAAAAAGAAAGAATATATTCTGGATTTTGAAGCCCTGTGATCGGAGGATGTAACTATGAAAATAGTTAATTTTCCGATATCGATCTTTTGAAATGCTCCCTTACGGAGATCGACTTATTAGTCAAGTTAATCCATTTTTGACTACAGACAATTATTTATAGTGTAGTTAAACTGATACAAAGTAATGTATCAGACATATTTAAAGATATTCATGCTAAAAATTGTTTTCTTTTGGCGCAAATTGTTTTCATGTCACCACTACAAATAGTGACAAACTGTCATAGTTTCCAAAATTTTTTGTAGACGTTCGGCATTCGGCGTTTTTAACAAGTGACAGGTGGTGGTGACATTTTGCATGTTAATGCCTTGTTTATGTTTACACATGGCTGGGCAATTTTATCAAAAAACAATAATCCTTTTTATAGTTGACACATTATGCACGATGACATATTTAACTTTGACACATTATGCACGATGACATATTTAACCTTGACACATTATGCACGATGACATATTTAACTTTGACACATTATGCACGATGACATATTTAACTTTGACACATTATGCACGATGACATATTTAACTTTGACACATTATGCACGATGACATATTTAACTTTGACACATTATGCACGATGACATATTTAACTTTGACACATTATGCACGATGACATATTTAACTTTGACATATTATGCAAGATGGTCAAAAATGAATGAACACAAGGAGCTCACACGTGTCGAACTTACGACCTCATGATAACGGCACAGCGCCTACATGTAGCATGGCTTGTTCAGTGCTCCAACCGTTTGAATGACATATAAGTTGTTCACATTTTGGGGATACGATGCGGGTGACTAGCATGATCATACTACACAAGCAGTGATTACTGGTAAATTCAGAAAACTATGGGGATCACTGGATGGGAAATGTAAGGTAAAACTTTCCAACTGAATGAGCGCACTTAAGTTTGTATGAAAAAACGTAATAAGGTAAAACAAATCAAACAGATCTTGATTAGGGATTGACTCTGTATATGATAAAAAATAATGTGAGTGGTTGATATCATCTTTATGGCTCAATAAAATATAAAATATACTTTTTATGTTTTGTTTGTGTTTTGTTTGGACTTTGGCTGAAATGGATTGACCAGATGCAGTTTAGTTTTCGTGCTGTTAATTGTTTGTCTTTTGGGTGCGACTCCAGGTTTGCCCCGAAAGAGCATTAGACACTCCTTCTAAAAGATATATTTTGTATATAAAGTTAGGACAACCGCGTGTTAAACTTTAGACATTAGAGAGTTTAAGCAGGCAGTGTTTTGCACACCCTAAACGCGAACGTAAGTTATTTAAGAGGTGCATTTGTATGGGAGATTGGTCATACGTAGAGGTTGGCGTTTCGATTTCTTATGCAAGCTGAAACTCCCTATTAGCTCATATTCACGTCCTTATTATCATAATAGTTAGATAAAATGTAATATTAATGCTGAACAATTAAATACAGGGTGGTCAAAAAATGGAAACCCTGCATTTTCCTCATATCTTTGTCAAATTAGGAAATTACTCCCTGATATTTTGCACATTTGTACATCATTCAATTTCATACCAGCATACCATATTCCATGACAATCAGATTGATAGTCACAATGTTACAGCCCTTTGAACAAGACGCCCCGGTGTGGCCACCATCACACTGTTGGCAAACCTGAACAGGTTGTCAATGATCTGAGTGACTACATCTCTTAGCAGGTATGGCCTGAATGAAAAAGATGATCTCCTTTTTTAGGTCTGCAGTTGTCCTGAGGTCATTCTCATACACTCTTTTTCGGTGTATCACCACAGGTTGAACTTAAATAGGGACATTTTAGATGATGGGTGCAGGTTTGCCGAAAGTGCAAAAGTGGCCACTGGGGCATGTTGTTTAAAGTGCTGTAACATTATGACTATCAATTTGATGGTCATGAAATATGGTATGCTAGTCGAAGATTGAATGATGTACAAATGTGCCAAATATCTGGGAATAATATCCTAAAATGACAAAGATATCATGATTATTGTACCCCCTATTTTTCGAATGAAAATATATAGGCTTAAATTGAATAAAATGTGAGCAACTGCTTTTCATGCTAAAGCTATAATTTAAATATCATAATGCTGATACAATATTTGTAAAAGTGAAAAATGAAAAATATCAAAGGGAAATAGCTGAATCTTGGGAAGCGAAACACTTGAGAATGATAAGGTATAAATACATACATTTTAAAACAAAATCAATCACTAAAGTATCGTCATTTAGAACTCACTTGGGTAAAGTCCCTTGACAGGGTTATTGTCGGGATTAGCACCCCCTTTCCCATAGTCAATGCTGTTCTCAGCGGCGCGAGCATCAGCGCTTTTGTCGTATCTCACGAATATTCCAAACAATATGATGAACACAAGTTGAATGAATAACACGACTCCTGTGAACTCCCCCCTTTTCCAGACAGCTGCCATTGCAATTCCCTGTATCAATTGACGCTACATCAACCTCGAATCGCCCGTTCAAGTGTATCAACAACTTACGGTGATTTATGATATCGAAGTCAGAGTCACTTGACTGCAACTCGACTTTTGAGAAAACTAATAAATTCAGATGTTATTCACGATAAAAATAGTGTCCTCAAAAATCAAATTACCCGAACAGCTTAAAAAAGAAAAACCAAATTTCGCTATAGTTTCAATGAAATCTGGGCAATTTGACAACATATCATAATATAGCTGGTCAATTTATACCTTGGTAATATAGCTGGTCGATTTATATTTTGATAATATAGCTGGTCAATTCATATTTCAATTTACATTTTGTGTTATGTTATCATATCAGAATGTGGTTGTGTCTAAAAACAACTGATGTCATGGAGGGTTTGAAGAATAACGCTAGTGTGACGCACTTTAATGGAGTTGTATAAAGCCAAACATATATAGTTTAGACCACATTATTTATAAAACTGTGTACGTTTATAATGTTATTATGTCAGTATGTGGTCGTTTATAGTCCTAAAGTAATGATATTTTTAGATATATATATACCACATTATGTAATATATATTTGTGTTAGCATATTTTGTTTTTATATTACTTTGTGATCATGTGTACAGTCCCAAAGGCAATCAATGTAAAGATAGTTTTATAAAACAAATGCAAATACGATTTATTTTCGCTAGATCACTGGATGAAATATGTTCATAAATGTATCTATTTTATATTGTATGATATTTTGTATACGTAATCATAGTTATCATTTTTATTTCATTAAATACTGTTCATGGAAAAATGATAATGATGAGCTTGTCTGAAATCTTTCCTGGTTATATTGACGTATAGGCTACCATAAGTCCTTATAAGTACATTTTGTATATGCGTGTAAAATCGGTGAGAGCGATAATCGAAAAATATTCTGCACCGCTAGAGGAAAATTGAGAGGAAAAAATTAAAGAAATAAAACTGCCAATCCTTTATCACTCAATGTGTCTCTTGATCTAAACTCAACATTGTCAGAATGTCTCTTATTGTTCAAATCAGTCTCGTTGTCAAACCTCTTCGAGCAAACGTCGTGACACAAAGGGTGATCATCTTCATCCGCGTGGCCAATTGATATTGAGCGATTTGGAAGACGCCTCTTTGAGTATTTTATGGATGGCTTGGTAGTAGACGTAACATATACAGGGGCGGGATTTATAACGGTATCTTCGTCAGATTTGTAACCTCGGTCAACACTTGATGCTCTATTGGATTCGAATTCATAATATTGGATATCAAGTTTCTGCTTAGACTCAGATGCTGTAGTTGGTCCATCCTCAGGTTTAGGTGATATGTTCAATTCCTTTTCGGGTCGTGGTGCTATATTCGGTTCAAATTCAGATGACGGTGTTGTACTAGGTTTCTCTTCAGATTTAGTTGTCGCGCATCTAGATTTAGGACTTACATTGAAACACTTCTCTAATTCGATTGTTGAATCATGTGTACTCCATAATCTGGATTCACTGTGTGATTTTGATATGTACTTGGATGTTGAATCAACCTCGAAATATCCGGGCACTGATCTGAACTCGTGTTTGGGTCTCTCTCCTAGTTTTGAACCTTCATTTTGGCCACACTGTGGATTTTCTTCAGCAGAATTATATAAACTGAAAGTGTGAATTATAAAACGTTTATTTTGGAAACATAGATATATCGAAAATGTATCAGGTACAAAAGAAATACATCGTTCCCTCCAAAACGGGCAAAACAATTAGTTATACCATCGTTCAAGGTCTTTCAAAGAGTCATTTGTTTTAATTAGAGAATCGGGCAAAGCCTTCCTAATTTAAGAATTGGGACAGGGCCTTGTAAAAAAGCATATAATTGAAAAGTAGATGTATAAATTTACCTTGTTAAATTGTTTTCCCAGTTCTTGCAATCGTTTTCATATTGATGTTTACCAAGGTCTATATATAAGCATTTATATCCACAGGGGCACCTACATCTTCTAAACAGGCATTTTTGACGATGCTGGAATATTTGATCCACTACAACTAGGTACTTGCATTCAGGGTATATACACTCAATTGTCCGATATTTACAAGTGAAATCCATATGTGACTGGAGATCTTTCCTGTACAGGGCCTCCTCACAGTTTCCGTTTCGGCACGCCATTTTTGTGTAGTTGCATGCATTGTCAATATGAGCTCTAAGTTCGTGGAAGAACATTTTATCCCAGCATCTAAAATTTTGGCACCTCACTATCCTATATATGCAGTCTGTCTTATGCTTAAGAAGATGAATCCTTGGCATTGTCTCCGTACAACCGTATTTGGAATAGCAACATGGAACTATTTTCCATTCGCACCGTAATTCGTGTGGTTTAAGTTTAAACTCAAACATTTCTCGGTTACAGTTTGCATTGGGGCATGAAATAATGCGAAATGGGCATTCATCATTGTGTTTGCCGATGTCGTTGAATTTACAAATGTGTTTGCAAGGTGGGTTGCTGCAGATCGTCTTGCTGTCGCCATATTTCAACATATAAGCACCAGGAGGCACGTGGGTCCATTTCCTCTCTGTGGAAATAAGAATATAAGGTTTGTTAAGAGAAATAATTTACCATCTGAACTTCACAAAGCGACAATTTGTTTAATTTTAAGAATGAACTTGACACCAAAAAACGCTTATACAAAAACTGTTCGCCAGTTGATTGATTTAGTTAAGTGGCGAATTCTACAGCACATTCATAACTTTCTTATATGTAACGATCTAGAGGTTGGAAAAAGAGGAATTCACAGTCAGTGTCGTTTAAAAAGGGGACAAAGATCTTTGGGACATTTTTTCACAATGACACACACATGTCTTACCAAGTAAAGTATTCCGAAGTAACTGAAATGCTCCCTTTTGATTCAGCTCAATGGCAGGAAAAATCTGTAAACTCTCGGGTATATCACATTTTTCCATCTTAACAACAGTCACATTGTGTCTCCCCTCTGAGCCACTCCATGTCCAAATGACAAGATCCCTCTCGAATAAATATAGGAGTGAATCATCAGTTGGACAACGGGGGACAAACACAATCGTTTGTTCACTTTTTGCTGGAAACATAAGTCATAAGACTGTCGTTTGATTGAAATAAATCATTCAAGGGAAAACTATAGTGTGATCCAAACTGGTCATGATTGTCTAGACGATTGTTTTTCAAATTCAACTCCTTATTCTAATTGCTTATTTATTTTTGTTTGATAGATTGATTGTTTGCCTTTTCCTTGTTTATAAGTTTGTTATTTGGTCGATCATATGAAAACTAAAACCATCCCCGTCAATTATTCCACTTCTACAGCATTTGGGATGAGAAAAGCTCAGCTCTCGAAACGTTCAGCAATATCATATTGATCATCAGTTGGCTGATGTTGGTCTTCGTATTCATCTGGTCTCACCTGTCAAACATTGCACGAAGTATTAGCTTACCCAAATATTTTGAACTTATACCTATTGAAGTGGTTATATTAGAAATAACCGTTGCCCCTGGTTCAAACGTGTCGGCATTGCAACAACGGAATCCTTGCTTCTCCAAGCACTCGAATATTTCATTGATACAACTATATCCCAAATCATCCGAAACGCCATACGCAAAATACACGTGGTATTCTTTCCCCTCGTTGATATCAGGAACCGGAATGCCAATTCCTGCAAATAAATGGATGTTTCCATGATTTCATTTGCTAAAATACGAGATGCTCGGGAACGAATAATAAAGAAATAAGATGTATTCATTTAAAATGTGTAGGTTTTAGGTTAATAGTTCAATGTTATAGGTACATTTACATTTGTATAAAAGCAATATATATTTGCCACGAATAACACATACCTGATTCAAGTCCAGTATCATTAACGATTGAGCCATGGGACGGCATGGAGCCCATTCCAGAATCAAGAGACCCATACTTCGTCATATTGACGTCGGACTTTCCCTTAGGCAGATGTTTATCAATTGGTCATTTGTAGGTTCATTCACTTGATCCCTGAAAAGTATTTTAATTACTTATTTTTGTAATTTCCGTGTTTTATTCATCGTATTACACTAGTAATTGTAATTCTATCTAGTCGCGACATACATATTGACGCACCCTTGTGATGTCAAAGTGATGTCAAATAATAAATATATAAATACATAACACATCCTTACAGAGTAATGCTCGAGATTGTGATTCTAAGTATATAAACATGTTTTTATTTAATAATGATCGTTTATCATAGCTTATGTGTTTTATTTCCATAATGAAAAACTTTTGGAAAAATCTTCATTTCTGAAAATAGTCAAGCTTGAAATAAATTACTTAGAAAATAATAAGTAGCGTGACATATTTGAAATTGAATTTTAACTTACTCACTTATTTCACATTTTACAATTGATATTTATAATTTACATATATAGCTGGGCATAATTTATCACATTTCAGTCATTTGGAAAACAATATATAATATAGTGTAATATAATATACAGAGGTTCTTGTATGAGTACCTGTGCAAGATCGTCCATTCTTGATGAGCTTTGATAACTCTTCTTTATCAAAGCGAGGTACTCATACAAGTACATTTTTCTCATAAGATTATTATGCAATAAAATAATAAATCTGAGTGAAAAATAGCTTCAAATTAATTGAAATTCATCTTCCGACCATCATTAAAAAGATGTGCAGGGGATGATGCTTATAGTCATGTTCTTGTTTACACTCGAATCCAAATATGTTTTCTTTTCAAATACCATGTATTCTCGAATCGTCTTTTACTTATCTGAATCGATAAGTGGTTCAGGTTTCTAATGTATTTACAATGCAAATAATAGAATATATTTATTCACAATCTCATTTTTAGACATTATTTGATTGAATACGTGAATAGGATAACGTTAGGTACTATGAACTTTAACTTATCTCAAAGTAATTACCAATTTTAGTCATGATTTTCTTAAAATTGATTAAACATCCTATTCTGTTAACGTTTTACTCTATAATTCAGATCCTCGTCTGACTAGGTCTTTTATATAAAATGCCTTACCTTTAGATATTTATGGTTTGTCAGCCTATTTACAACGAGTATTTCTATCAACATAATTGTTACCTACATTTTTAAAATTCCTTTTGAACATTATTTTACCAAAATATTTCATTTTGAGCTATGTATTTTATGATCATATGTACGTGTAAGATATTTACATTGAGACGTGTTCGCTAGCATGTAGTTGATCATTACCCTGATAATTCTTATAGTGTCGATCAACATGTACCTTAAACATAATTTTTGGGGTACATACCCCAGAAACGAATAATATTTTACACGTTGCCGGATACATGTACCTTAAACATACCTTTTCTGGGTGCATTATGCATACTAACCAATAATATTTAACACGAAGCTGGGTATATGTACATACATACTTTTTTGGTGTTTTTTAACAAATAGATAGTCGACATGCTGCAGGATATCAGGCCTCCCTCCCCCTTAAGCTCTTAAGCCAATATGTGCCTACTTCGTAATCCCTGGTATAAATGTACTTGGATATGTCTAACACCGTTTGATTTGTCAATTTCCAAAAATATTCAGATTCACTTTATATCCAAGTGATGATTGAGAAGCTGACAATTTGTTGCAAGTTCATTCTGCTTAATAGTACTGTTAGTACTGAACTTGGTAAATATCCCGTAAATATCAACAATCTTTAGTATTGTTTCAACTTTTTACTCACATGTATTTTGAAATCCATTGCTTCTTTTGTATGACTTATCCCAAAGCACTTATCGCAGACATTCACCTCGACGTTTCCGAGTCGTACTGAGAATTAAATTTTGCTTCCTCGTTCATTGAGGGAATTCCCCTTTTGCTGACGTCACGGAATTCCACATTCCTCAATCTTTGCACATCCTTTAAAATCAGGCTTCGCTTCTATCGGCTCTATCGTAGCTATGGGGAAAATTGAAATATCCTTGGACCAAGGATGCATTTACAATCCTTCGATGTTGGCAGGACCTTCAATCGTTTCAATATGAAGTAAACTACTGATAACTATATTTGATCTAAAGGCGAATATGTAAGGTCATAAAAGAGCGAGGACCTACCTTGCTATATTGTGATACTTCTAGTATTTATAGTTTTTCAACGAACTGTCAACTTTAAATCATAAAATTGACTAAGGTTATCAATTTTAATGTTTCTGAAAATAGCCATTCATCTGTTGTGTTTTTAAGAATCTATGTTCTGATTGGCTTGAATTTGATCAGACCTAGCTATGTCGTAAAAGGGTGTGAGGATATTTAAAGTTGTTTATGCAGTTTTATCATACACATTATCATACACCTTCTGACATACGTAGCCTAGCATCTGAGATAACATTTGACAATAGAGATAATTAATTCAATTAACTATGATTTCTTATACATTGGATATATCCAATATTAAAATTGAGTATAAAAAACAATAAGATATATTCATAACAAACTAGGAATGTCCGTATTATTGAAGTGAAATCCATATTAAGATCTATAATCGGCGCGGGGGGGGGCAGAGACTAGATCTCATTCAAGAGTAGATTTTGTAATATGAGAATCTAACCCTACTGTAACAGCTCCGGTCTTAATCCCGAAACTGCCACGTACGGGCTGCTCAGTCAATCAATTTACCAATACTACAACAAAGCAACTCGTACAAACAAACAAACAGGACCGAACGAGCAAACAAATGGTAGCGTGGTAAGCTGAACGGCCATGGCAACGTAGTGAATCGAATTTGAGCTGAATGTTAAGATTAATTACTGGACTCAATGTAAGGTGCTGCCATCTTTGAATAGACACGAAAGTTGGAAACACTAATTGAAAAAGAATGATTTGGAACAGAAGGATGAAGTGACCAATATGTGGCAGACTTTTTCAAATATAAGAGTATTTCACTGTTGTTTCATCTAAACCATCATTCAATGACTAAAAACAATCAACATGACAAATCAAGTAAAGTTTTAAAGTCTAGTTGTAAATAAATAATTAAGATCTGGTTTTACATCAGTTTTATCAATACAAGTCAAAGCAAATTACACGAATTAAAAGCAGAATCTGACTTTAGTCGAACCTGACAAATAGTATTAAAAACAAATTATAAAGGTCTTAACTAAAATGGCGACTATATTTCAGCCCTCACTCAAGATCAAAACAACATCGAGCTTTGAGTAAAGCGATTGTCAAAAAATGGCGCTGTGTAAAATCTCACCTGCGCTCTGAACATATCAAAAACTAGGCCAGATCTTCCAGCCAAAAATTACATTATTCTATCAAAGAAAATCAACCAAAATAGATGTTCCAAATAACCAAATTAAACCCAATGTCAGACTCAGTTGACTCTATGAGTCTCCAAGACAAACTCAATAGAGGAGTTTCTAAATGATTTTGAAATCTCGCTAATTCTCGTTTTTTCATGAGATTTTAAGAGATTTGCACATTTTACCTCTAATGACTTACTTTTCTTACTTTTTAATAGCATATTTGAATTCAGTGATATGCTTCCTACAATAATAGCTTTGATTTACACATTTATGTCATTTAAATCATTCTCCATGACATTTAAAAAAAACTTGGGCCAAATCTCCATTGATGTTATGCTAAAATTCTTTAAAACCATGGTTTAATCGTATGACAACCAACATTTTCATGTTTAATCACAATATGTTAATTGACAGGGTCATTTAATAGTATGCTATTCAAGTTTCAGACAGATTTAACTAACACTCCAAGATGAACAAAGGTGACATGTATTATGTCAGCTTTATTCAGCTTTATTTAGCTATTTAGAAACTATACTATTCACAATATGCTCAGCGCAGCAGTTGAGTTAAAATAAGAAAATATAACCTCCCTTCCGTAGCCACATTGGTCTCTCCTTCCCTTTGGCTAGCCCATTACAATCGATTGGTGCTGACAAAGTGTCGAAAATATCTCAAAATAGGACAATTAAAATCAAAATTGCCTCGTGAGGAAACTTATGGCGCCAACTCTCTTCTCGCCGTCTCTCGCGAGAGATCAACCCTTACATAAAGTAGTTACCTGACAAAATGCATTACATTAAAAAACGCTTGCAAAATAGTTGTTCTGAACAAAGGCTAAACAGCTCAAGTAACTACATGTATTACCCTGACCCTGCAGCGGTACTATTCGCGCTCCGAGCGGAAGGGAAGTAGCGACACCGGGTGAAAGGTTGGCATTTTATCCAAAAGTAAAATATGACTGTCCAACCCCGGGTCGCTACACTACTATCACACCAAACTAGTTTTCACTACGTTCTCGAAAACAGGCTTCAACTGTGTACGAACGGACTGGGCGTACTTAGAATCGTTTGGGGTCTATTTACAAATGTCATCGAACGTACTAAAACGGGTAGGTCCTCTAGAGCTTAGAACATGCTCAAAATGTTCTCGTGGTCGATACGTTTTACAATTAGAACGAGTAACAACGTACTAACGACGAGCTGGATCCGGAGCTGGACGTACTACGAACGGAACCGTCGTACTTCAATCCTACTAGGGACGTTTTAACAACGACTTGAACTGTCTGAGGACGTATTGAGAACTAGGTAGAACTAATTGCAAACGAGTTTAAACTGATTAAGAACGTATTTAAGACTGCTTATGAACGAGTAAGCAAAAATATAGCTATCACACCAAACAAGTTGCCACTGCGTTCTTCAAAACTGGTTTAAACTGTTTGCGAACGGAATGAACGTAGCTGCAACTTTCTAAGGTCTATTTATGAACTTCAAGAACGTTCTCAAACGGGAAAGTGATTTTAGAATTTTGAATCGATTCAAAATTCGATGGCGACCATACCGTTCTGTACTCAGGTCATGATGACCTTCTAGACTAAGGAACGCATTATACGACGTTGCACACCGACGGGGTGCAACCTGAACGAACTGCGAACGAGATGGACGGACGTATTGAAAACTGTTTATGAACGAAGTAGCTAATTATTTTAGACATATTTCCCGACCACAGCCAGATTGAGCCCGTTTTACGACGTTTTCGTAGGACTGGCAGCAAGAACGGGTAAGAACTAGTTTGGTGTAATAGGGGGTAACCACCAACGTGTCTTTTTACCAGTTCGGAATAGTGCCGAATCAAGTAGTTGTTGCGATGGTTTGCGACAACCTTTTATTTCATTCTGTCTTTTTTATTTTTTGAATTTTATTTAATGATAACGTAACAATGGAATGTACAATGGACTGTACTTTCACTTGAATATTGAAATAGTCAACAATCTTCTCTGGCGAATCATCATGCATATACCTCCCCCGTCCTCAAACAGAATTAATTTCGTTCTGCTTATATCATATTTGATAGTTGTACACCATCATTTACTGCAATACACGTGACTAGCTTCACCCCCCCCCATAACCGGAAGTTCCCCTTCTAGATCACGTGTTAAAGTCTGTCCAGGTCTATATTTGGTGGTTTAAAATAATCAAATTTATCACAGTTCCCCGAAATATTGGAGGAACAAAATGAAAATTTAACTTGTTTTAACACGCTATCAAATGAAGACTTCCGTTTGTCAAACTTATGGAGGGGAGTGTAAAATGTATTTAGCATAGGGGTTCAAAGTTAAAAGGAATATAGTCAACAATATATCGATTATGACATGTTGTCAAACTTATGGAGGGGAGTGTAAAATGTATTTAGCATAGGGGTTCAAAGTTCAAAGGAATATAGTCAACAATATATCGATTATGACATGTTGTCAAACTTATGGAGGGGAGTGTAAAATGTATTTAGCATAGGGGTTCAAAGTTCAAAGGAATATCGTCAACAATATATCGATTATGACATGTTGCCAAACTTATGGAGGGGAGTGTAAAATGTATTTAGCATAGGGGTTCAAAGTTCAAAGGAATATCGTCAACAATATATCGATTATGACATGTTGCCAAACTTATGGAGGGGAGTGTAAAATGTATTTAGCATAGGGGTTCAAAGTTCAAAGGAATATCGTCAACAATATATCGATTATGACATGTTGCCAAACTTATGGAGGGGAGTGTAAATGTATTTAGCATAGGGGTTCAAAGTTCAAAGGAATATCGTCAACCATATATCGATTATGACATGTTGTCAAACTTATGGAGGGGAGTGTAAATGTATTTAGCATAGGGGTTCAAAGTTCAAAGGAATATCGTCAACAATATATCGATTATGACATGTTTTTTATAAAATAGTACGAATACCTTGACCTACAAAGATTATACCCTTCAAAAAAGTGCCACTGTCATTTTTATAATCTTTAAAATATATTTTGGAAAGACAATAAAACGGAAAGGCATAATAAGTCCAGCGACACAGAACACATTCTAAGTTGTACACAAATACTTAAAAATACATTTAAAAAAATTAAAATTAAAAAAGTAAATTAAAAAAATGACAGTAATCATCAATAACCTTCGGAGTATATTAATATTAACTTAACATAATCTTTGGCTTTTGCCAACACGTAATTTATTTATAGTTGTTGCGTTCTATATAAGACTCTCGCCACATGATTGAACTGTAGGGCCTCTTAGAGATATAAAATACATGTACATATGTCTTGTTGAGATTTTAAACAATGCGTTTTGATTAGAAAACAACCTAGATTTGTTTTATAAGAATTCTACACTGTCAATATAATTTCACAATAACTGGGTGTTGTAAAGGATGTAATAGACACTAATGGGAGAGAACAAAAAAAAAACGAAGATAAAAAATAAACAGAGATAAAGTTCAGTCATATAGATTACATTGAATACTAGAGCTATTGGAACATAAGCTCATTCTAGAAACAGAATTGTGCCCCGGAATTCATCATTTTCAAAAGGGTCAAAGAGCCCGGATAATATGGTGGTCACATCACCGGACGGATACATGAACAAATTGCAGAGAATTAAATAACAATAATCTAAATATAATATGCCTTACATTAAGCAGGTAAATGAATAGGAAGATACAAATAATCACGGCAAACCTAGCCAGCTATATACCCTATGGACATCAATGTACTTAAGCAGGATACGATTAATAAGGATAGTGGACACATTCAGATATTGTTACATATTCAAAGGATTGCACGCTCCTCAACAGAAGAAACGAGTGAATTACGAATGCTGTTTCAAAAAAGGTAAAAAACCAATAGCTTGTCAAAATATATACTTCATTTCCAGTACATTGAGAACGAGACAATTTTAAGTTCGCTAAATAATGAACCCCGAATACCAATAACATTGTCAATTTGTTATTAAGGACTCATGGGAAACGTTTGTTAAAGTGCAAGTAGAGAATCCTAACGCAGCTGCAGTCAGAGGTCAGAATAACAAAAAGACTAAGATTTAGTACCAATAAAAACACAAACTATGCCACAAAAGTTAATCAGACAATAGTGACCCCGCAGTAACACGTGTAGAATTACATCGTGTTCCACAAGAAGTCACTTACTATTTTCCAAATTCCATCTTGATGCCGTTAATTGTATTCAGATTTACCCTGGATCGGATTCCCGTAAAGTTAGAATCATGTACACCCCTCCATAAGTTTGGCAACTGGCAGTCCCATTTCGGATCATTTATTTAAGCCTGATTAGATTAAGCGATTTAAGAGTATCCATCTTTGTCATGATTTTCCGAACTTATTCTAATTAAAGAATAATATTGAGATTGCAACATTTACATGGTTTAAAAGCTATCCAATAAATTAAAACGTCCAGTTTCCAAACTTAAAGTGAGGAGTGTATCTGTACTATGCTACGTTTGACTCAGATCAAACTTTGATAAATGAGCAACTGCAACGAGGATCGGTAAATATTTGGGAATCGTTTAGTAATATTATAACCGAGATCAGGAACAATTGGTAATGCGTATAGATCAGCGAGGCTCATCCTCTTGGCCTCATTACCCTTTGCATTCGTTTGACTCCACTTCTTAAAAGAGAGCTTCGTCTTGTAGTTTAACTAGACTCTGCACGCAGGGTATGGTCTCATCGGCACGAACCTAGAAAAATCAATACTTTAAGTTTCCATTTGGATTTTGAACACATCCAATATGCCTATAATTCTAGAAGGGTCGTGCAGTTTTTATAACGATATTCTGGAAGAATAGCTTCATGTTTAATTGTATGACGATCCTTAATTGCTAACATTTAAATTAGAAGGGCCATTGCTGGATATATTTTGTTCGAGATTAAAATCCATAATTGGACAAAACCTCAGAGAACAGCGATTAAACGAATCTTAACAAGGAGAGCTAAATACTCGCTTACCAAAATTCGGGGTGATAACCCATATTTGGAAAAATACCCTAAGGAAGAAGAAGAAGAGTTACTGCTTTAAACATTATACAAGATCATAGCCGATATTTGGAAGAAAACATATTACACGAATCTTATATTACAACAGCCAATTCTTTTTGAAAATCATCCGGGATAATTACCATATTTGGAAATCCATGTAAGCTTCAGCGGCTAGTAAAGGCTAAGAATATGAAGGTGCTGAACTTAGACCAAGTTTTGATGGAGCTGGGGAGCTACGGATCTTGGCAGCTGAGACTGTGGATTGTACTGTGCATTAGTTTCAATTACCCATTTGCCTGGCAGTTTTTCACAATTGTGTTCATCGGTAAGTGACCATTGACTAAATAATCATATAACATAGATATGCTGTTTTATTTAAATTAAAAAAGTATGAGTCTATTGCATTGTTGTATCTTGCTTTTTCTCTTACTTTGCATGTATTTTTGTTTCCAACAAATGATACATTCTAAGTCGCTTTGCTTCCAGTTATACAAGTCATGTAATTTGTCATAATGTAACGATGACCCCCTTATCATCATTGGCGCCAAGGGAGGGGGGGGGGGGGGCGTTGGCTGGGCCAATTTTGCTTTTCCGGGGGGATTTTTATTCCAGGTGCTAAAAAAGGAGACTCGGAGATAAAAAACAATGGGGTCTGGTGAAAGAGGTGGAGAAGCTTCAATGAAGTGCACGCCATGATTATTGAAACAGTTTTTCTGTCTTTTAGATGTAGACGTACCTGTACCAACTTGGAAAACCCCATCGGACGCTCCTGATCATATTATAGATACTATTATGTCAAATATCGTATGAAGGGTGCGTGTGTGTGAGGGGGGGGGGGGGGGGTAATCGCAGGAGATTAGTTAGCTTTTCTTTTTGGGTCCTTGCATCTAACGATTGACTCCGTTAACAGAGCTCAATGAGGTATGAGATATTCTAATACCCCTCGTGTTGACTTGGCACTTGCTAATAGGGATGGTTATAAATTATGTTTTTTCTAAAACCTATACAATTATTCCGTTTCTGAACAGTACACGCTTCATGTAGCAGGAATGGCAAATAAATTGTTACACAATTTGTTAACGTTCTTTCGATGAGAAGCTTGCATATCGTAAAGCATCCTATAAAATTTAGGCATCAAATCTATGCCGTTGCTTGATTTTAACGTTTGAAATACATTTATAGGGGTTGGTTTGTAATTGTGTACTTGACTATTGCCCCTTGTGCGTTTTTGTTATAACATGTTCAGCATTTAAGCAGTTGTAATTCCACATTGGTTTCACGTGTTTTATATAGTTTATTGGGGTTTATTAATGTTTCACAGAAATCTACCAATTAAACTTCTAAGTTCAAAGCTTGTGCGAGCAATCCGCATATTTTTTTCGCTTTCAAAGTTCAAAGTTATAAAATGACAGCAATTATGGCACCTGTTTTGTCGCTATGACCGTTTCTTGATACTACTCTTAACTAATTTATCGGATTTTAATCAGACATCACGGCATTTAATCATCTACACATTACAGTTAGAAGTACACACTATAACATGACCTCTACTACTCGGCATCAAGCCCTGGAATACCAGCATTTACAAACCCAACGCACAGCCCCCCACATCCCTAGGATCGGCCCTTTACGTCTTCTTTTATTATTTTAGGCCATATTCGAGAAGACTGGCCCTAAACTTTCAAAAAGGTCCAATTTTTCGTTTTAGGGGCCCATGTATTTATTTAGACTTAAAATGTGCCCTCCCGTTCGTGATTGAAAAAGAGATACATATAATTGTGGAGTGGGACAAAGGCCTTGCTTTGAGACTAAAAAACGTAAACTTATGAGGTAACGTAACATCAACGATTTTGCACAACAAAAGTTTTGTGCAATGGCTTATGTTATTACTTCAATTAATTACGTTCAGGGAGCAAACCTCTTGATTCATTACAGAAGGAACAGAATTGTCTCATGAAAAAAGGCTAAAAATCAAAAAGGTTTTTGCGCAAAATGTGTTTTGCGCAAGGGCTTACTTCGATTACGTTCTGCTTTAGAGTAAGTAAGGAATAGAATCCGTTTAATCTTCCGTGTGTATTTGATTTCAAGGCTGAGAGATTTGGTTTGTTCTATTTGTGGTTTTGGTAAATTTCCCCATCCCATTTCGAGGTAAAAAGTGTAATGAATCTGCGAATGCAATATACAATTAAACAATTAATATGTTATCTATTTTCAAGAATAGAATGCTACCATACAATATGATTAAATACAATACAATACAAAATTATACAATGCAATATAATACAATACCACAAAACAATGTAATACGACAATACAAAGTATTATCGTATGATCTGTAAAATGAAGCCTTCTGATTGGTCAGTTCTTGCGCTGTATCAATCTGTATTGCTACTGAGATTTTCCCCATTGATCATCTCCGTCGCAATACAGAAAATATTGGTACGGAGGGGACAATCTCAGTAGCAATACAGTCGAGGATCACTCGATAAAAACGTTATTGAATGATTTGAAGTGAAATACAGGATATATTCTGTCTCGATATTCTGTATTGGCACTCGACTTCGTCTCGTTCCGATACGGAATTTCTCGAGCATAATATATCCTGTATTGCACTTCAAATCATTCAATAACTTTTTTTGTAGTATTTATTTTATTTCAGTTTAAAGTTCTTACATTTTACATTTTAAAGCAACCTCCAAACGTTCTTCCTTTCACACCATACATTCCTACTCATCCATACCCTCTCATCTTTCATACATCCCAATCAGACACATGCATACTGTAAATGTCACATAAATATACAATAACTTATAATACAATAATTCATAAATATACCAAGCTACATTCGTATAATACAATACAGCACAGCATTTCTGCTGTAGTGAATGATTTTAGGGGAATTCGATTAAATAATTATCTTATCTAGATAAATGTGTCATACATCCTGTTTTTATATTACTAAAAAGTAGTGTATGTCTCACGAGACATAACCTGTGAGGAATTAGGGTTAAGCTTGGTATTTTGCATCAAGTGGTGGAAAATATATAGAATTGAGTCAATGAGTAAAGTGCTATTATTATTTTGAAACGTATTAGCAAATTATTTAAAACAATAATATAAAGAAAACTAATTTTCATGATTTATGTTTTTAGGTGGATAACCTAGTCATCATTTCAGAGTACCCGTTTACAAGCGCTATTGTGATTTTCAAACTTATGAGCAATTATTTAAATTTTATCAAGAAAAACAAATTTTTATAACGTATGCTTTTTAGGTGAAGAGCCAACCCATGATTGTCGAATCCCCGTTAACAAGCGCTATTGTGATTTTCAAACTTATGAGCAAATTATTTAAAATAGTATCAAGAAAACTAGTTTTCTTTTAGGTGAAGAACCTGCTCATCATTGTCGGGTTCCCGTTAACAATACCTTAAATGGATCCCTACCGATAAACAATGGAGAATGGGACAAATGCAGAATGTTCATCAATGACACAAATCAAACTATGCCTTGCAACAATGGGTGGGAGTACGCCGAGGGATTTGATAATGTTGTTACAGAGGTATTTTTATTCTAAACCTTATTGTAAAGGATTCTTGTTCGAACCCTATGTCTGACTTTCATCATTATTGTGCAATTTCAAATAACGTTTATCATTGACCTCTATCGATAGAGGTCCCTTGTTAAATATATAAGAAGAATGCAAGCGTGTATAAATACGATCATTTGCATCATGCATGTACATATGCATACGATATATGATGCCGCTTCGTCTCACCAATGGTATTCATTCATTTATTTGTTTCCAGTGGAATCTGGTTTGCAACGACGCTGCAGTTGCGCCATTAATGCACACAGTTTTTGTGATAGGTGTGGGTGTAGGTGGTCTCGTCTTCTCTGCCCTGAGTGATAAGTTCGGGAGAAGTCCTATACATATCATCTGTCATATACTATCAGCCAGTATAGGGATTGGAAGTGCCTTTGCCCCCTCACCCACTGTCTTCACCGTACTGGCATTCTTTCGAGGGTTTGCAGTGCAGGTAGGTAATTATTTAGAGGATTGACAATGTGCGAGGCATATAAAATTCAAAGGCCTTTAAAGTCTGATTGTTTTGAGAAAATATGAAAGACTCTAGAAAGTAAGGTATACATATAGAACGCAAGAATCAAATGGATAATAACTAAGGTACTGTTCTAGTTTTACAAAACACGAAGGGCAAATTAATGATACATAAGAGCCTAAGCAATTAAATATGTGTCATTTGGGAACCTTTGATAAAATCACTTAATGGAAAATCAACATTGACTCTTCATCCTAGCAATAGTATTATCTCATTAGAAAATGCAGAGCTTCAAAGTGCCGTCTTCAGTACTCAAATGCATCACTGAAAACTCAACAAGGTATTCCTAAATCAACCGTTTTCACCATGGATATAATGGCGGCATACTGAGGAGACAATAGACATTTGAATTCATAATTTTGCGAAAGTTAATGTAAATGACTTCGAGGTTCCTATACATCATATCTTCATGTACTAGATGTTGTCTGTTAAAGGGTATCATCCTAACTGGTGTTGTGATGGCGAGTGAACTATTTCCGTCCCTAGTCCGTGTAAAGATGGCAGCAGCTGTTCAGTTCTTTTGGTCTACTGGGATCATGCTTACGTCACTCTGGGCATTCGCTCTTCCAAATTGGAGGCATATGTTACTTGGTATATCATGTCCATCTTTCCTTGCTATCTTTATGATCGGGTAAGTCATTGACAATGGTTATGACCTGGGCCATGGGATCATAAATAAAAACTTTGTAAAATACTATATCAATTATTGTTACCATGGGTAACGACGCTATACTAACAGAACCACGTCTTCGGGAATTCTTAGCTTGACATACTTTCTGTAATATCAGGGAGTTTAAGCTTGCATATAAAATCGAAACGCCAACCTATGCGTATGACCAATCGCCTATACAAATGCATCGCTTAAATATTTGCCGTTCACGTTAAGGTTGTGAAAAACATTGCAAGCTTAAACTCACTAATGTCCCGTGGTTTGAATCCTACCAGAGTGTTAGTGGAGAATACCTCTCCACTTTCAAATTATCGTAAAACAGATGTGTGCTTTTACTTTCCTAATTGGTACATTTATTCTTATATGGTCTTTGTCGTGGTCCTTGTCAATATATGTTTGTGGTTATTTCGATGTTGTGATCTGATAAGAATATTAATGATATTTTCAGTTACACTTAACTATTATCAATATTATAGGGTGATACCTGAATCTGTCGTGTGGTTGATGTCTAAACGAAAACACGAAAAAGTAGAAAAGACTCTTAGAAAGATATCAACAGTTAATAAAGTGTCCCTTCCGGAGGTGACGTTAACTCCTTCAAGGCGAGGAACGATTGTATCATTAACGAATAACCCCCTACATGACGCTAGACTCTCTTTGGCAAGTCTGGGGGCAGATGGTTTGCGACAAAGACTTTCCGTACCAGCAAGGAATAGCGTTGAGCCTTATACACATAAGGAAAAGTACACAAAAATGTCTGTATTGAGCGACAGTGTTTTGTACACCGCGGGACATGATGTCCATATAAATGCTACTGATGATATTAAAGAGGCTGATAAGATGAGACGAACTGGTGAAATCATCAATAAACATTCGCAATCAATGGGTGATAATATCGATGATATAAGAATACGTATTCCCGATTTAGACAAAATTCAAGGAAGATCCGTGAGTGATGGGTCAACTGTTGACCGCATTGGCGATAATTTAAATAAAAATCAAGCACATAGATTTAAAGAAGTTAAAGACACAGATGGTGATATCCCAAAGACTGATGACACAACTGTTGGTCATGGTGGGTCCGTGGAATCAGCTGCCAGCCACGAAGCAGATTTCGTTATAGGAAGCAGCGACTCGACTGTTGATAGTAAAGATGATAAAGTTGATAAAAATCATAATCCACAAACTGCTGACAAACAAACCAAACATATCTATGCAAAAATGGACAATGTTGCTCAAAACGACCAAGAATACCAAACAAAGTACCAAACAAAGAAAACGTCAACGGTATCACAATCTGGAAAGCCAAAGCGTGATTTCACACAACGTAAAATTAGTTTTGCTGATGACTTGCAAGATTTCGACATCACTCAGTACGCATTTGAAAAACGGAAATCAAGTGCTTTAAGTTATGGCACCGGGGAAATCGCAGATACGTTGCCTCCAAGAAAGAGTTCTGTGTTGAGTGGAGCAAGATCAATTTTAGAGAAGCGCCAACACAAATACTCGATCGGAGAAGTAAATGAGGACATAGAAGCGGATGTCACATTGTTGGATATGATAACAAAGCCAAGAATGAGGATGATCCTGATCATCAACATATTGTATTGGTAACCAAACTTTGAAATATATGTTTAATATCTATTCTTACATAACATAATTAAGAAATTAACTGGTTCAAAGCTTTCGATGTTTTGGTGTTGAAACGGACTTTGGCCACAACTCACAAAACTTGTCCTGTACACACATCTATAGAAAGAACGGGCATTTTATTAACATGTGTCCAACCTGTGTGTTTTTTCTTCAATTTGAAGGTTTGCTGTGAATATGACGTATTTTGGCGTCTCTATGGGAACATCAACGTTGGGTGGTGATAGATACATAAACTTCGCCTTAAATGGTTTAGTGGAACTACCTCCTGGATTAATATGTATGTTTGTGCTTCCGAAGTAAGTAGTCTCCCTCAATAACTCCCTCTGTGAGATTTATTCTATCTTCTTTTTTGTAATTTTGGTGATTGCCCAGGTGAACAATTATCATGGATATTTGTAATTGTCATTCAATGAAGAAGTAACAGATGCAAAACTTGATAGATTAAACAACATACTATTAATGGATATGATATATATATATATATTTCTTTATTGCGACCATAATTGATCATCATAATATACATTAATTTATGTTAACATATATACAAACATTTAGGTGAACAATACAAGGTCGGGATGATATTTACAAAATGGCGTTTGTTCGATGTTGATACATCGCATACAAAGTGTTAACAATAAATATACAGTCATCCTGCTCATCTGGAGCGAAGATAAAGGGCAATACGCCATCCCCATATTTGTCAATAAGGGGTTTTAATAATAATCGACGACTCTTAAGTTCAGTACAATCCTTTATAAAATGAATTAATGTTTCACACTCTCCACATAAAGGACACAATCTATTTTCTTTAGCTTCTGCATACCTCCCAATGGCTTCCCCCACCAGCAGCCGTACCATAAACTTACATTTGAAAATGAGATCAGGCCTAAATTTACATAATTGGTACCATATTATTGGAACTCGATTATTGACGACATCTCTGTACGTCTTAATCTTAGTATACATCATGCATTTTAGATGCCATCTATTTATGTAGTAATTGGATACAGCATTTTTAGAAATTTTCTTCCAATGATGTTTTTTGGGGAATATACCTTGGTCGATATAGCTCTTCATTCTATCTAAGAGATTAAACCTTGTACCTAGTTTGATTATTTCAGCTATAGGCGAAGACACTGACATCCCTACGATAAATATTTTAAAAAGTAGGATGTACCATCTAGCAATACTCACAGCTTTACATTGTCCAGCACAAGTGTTAAATATATGCCAAAAGTACATGAGTTTCTTCATTGCAATAACTTCACTGATGTCACACCAGCCTATCTGTGACAAGGATGCACAATCTGTTGTATGTTTTGGTAAACCTTGAATATGTTTAGCTGTTTGAGTATGGAAACGTTCTAGTTTACCCAGGCTGGAGTCATTGTATTCAAGAACCTCTGCTCCATAAAGAACAGTGGGAATTGACACTGCCCAGTACAGTTTGGAAGCTGATAGGGGGTTTACAGTACAATTTTCAGGAGTTATACAGTCGACTGTAGCATATAAATTCCTTCTACCTTTAGAAATACCATTCTCAATGTGGTAACCAATGTCTCTCTGTGTAACAGGTAGTCCTAAATGAACAAGTTCATTTACAATGGCAATGTTGTCTATACCGAAATTAAAAGGGAGTACGTCTTTATTCCTCCCTTTAACAAAATGAACTGCAGAGCATTTTTTGGGATGAATTTGAAAACGCCACCTATTGGCGTAGTTATAAACTATATTTAACATTGATTGCATGGTATTTCTAAAAGACGAAATTAAAATGGTGTCATCTGCATAGGATGGAGCACAACATGACATCCCTCGTATAGCACAGCCTAGCCCAGAGTTAACGAGCTCTTCCAATAAGGGATTCATGAATCGTACATATAATTCCATTGATAAAACCCCTCCCTGATGAACGCCCTGACTTACAATAAATGTTTCACTACATTTGCCCTTTACTCTGACACAACATTTATAACCTTCATAAGTTTCAAGGATCATCTTCCATAATTTGCCATTTATACCCTGGTTATACAAAATGTACATTAAGCCATTTAACCACACAGTATCAAAAGCTTTTTTCACATCAATAGCCAGAGCGTAAGCCTCAGACCCATTTTCTAATTGATTTGCAATAGTCTCCCTTAGTATTAACGACGTGTCAAGACAAGAAGCGCCAGACTGTGCAGCATACTGTAATTTGGATCGACAAAAATCACCACATAGTTTACTCCGTTCAAGTATTAATCTGTCTAGAATTTTGCTATACGAACACATGAGAGTAATACCCCTGTGGTTATCCTTGTCTAAGATATCCTTGTTATTACCCTTGTATAATGTAATTATGACACCAATCTTTAAACTGCATGGGACATACTCAAGTTTAAACATACAATTAAAAATCATAGTAAGGACCTCGATAAGGGTCTCACCACCATACCTTAGGTGCTCTGCTGAGATACCATCTATGCCACATGCTTTATTACAATTTAAGGATTTAATAGCCATGGCCAGATCATTCTCATCAAAACATTCATTAAAAGAGCCATCATTATTATCTGAATATCCACGCTTCATGAAGTCCATCATTGCATTAACATGTGCTTTAAAATCTATGTCAAAATTATCACATTCCTTTGGAGTAAAAAGCTGACTTAAATAATTAGACCATTCTTGCCTTACAGCATCTGGCTCTTGAAGAACTATACCGTGGTCATTTCTAATACAATTGGAATTTTTCCCAGATTTCTTGTGCCTATTGGCCAAAAACCAGTAGTACCTTGCATCTATATCTTGACTTTCATCAATATCTTTCTGACAATTAATATTATATTCTACCTCAGCCTGTCTCAAGGCACGTCTAAATGCTCTTTTGGCATCTTTGTATCTTAACCAAAAAACATTGTCACCACGATGCATACCACTTCTTTTCCACTCTGACCACATTTTATTTTTTGCTTTCAAGAGGTCTTTAATGCTAGAATTCCAATAAGGTTTAAGTCTCTTGTTATATTTCCTTTTGGGAATTCTATCATTGGAAACAGTTTTAAGGATATCCGTAACCCGGTTTAACACAGAATCTATATACTCTTTACTGACGTCACAATCTAAAATTTTATTCTCGAGGTTAATCTTAATTTCCGCAAGACCCTGACTAACACCCTTGGTAAATAATTCTTCAATGTCACATTTTGAAAGCTTATCCCATGCATTGCGGCAATTATTTCCAGGTGCACTATTACCAGCATTGAAATCATTTATATTTGATAAATTTACATTTACAACTAAGGACAGATGATCTGATGTGTTGAGTAGTTCATCTTCATTTGTAATCCCTCCATTAACATATCTGTAAAAAGTGCTTGATATAACACAATGATCAATGTAAGAGGTCCCCAAGTAATCCCTGCTAAAAGTGTAATTAGGCCCTTTCCACAAATCATTATACATGTCGATAGCCATCAGGCCATTCCTCTGCATAAATTCATGAAATTTAAAACCATTACGCGAGGCACAGGTCTGACCACGATCGCCACATAAGCCATCAATGCATGCATTTATATCACCAAATATAATAATATCGCTATCCGCCATTAAGGAGGACACACATGTATCCAGCTCATCAAGCACCTCAACATAATTAACCTTTTTACAATTCTGTTGTGGTAGATAAACACAAAATAGTATAACACGTGTGTTATTATTACATTGCATGCTAATCGCACATATTCTATCCTTGTATTTAACCTTAAGATTAACTTTAGATACCACTGCCTGCAAAGATTTATTAACCATAATGGCAATACCGCCATGACCAATTATGTGACCTTTATTTAATGGACATAAGTCCGGACTAGATTCAAAGCATTCACAATAAAAATCCTGGTTAACGTTTTCCAAAATATGTTTTGAATGTTGATGTAACCAATGCTCCTGTAAGAGGATAATATCATTACTCTGCATTAACTTAGAAAGATATGGGATTGAAGTTCCAAGCCCATTGGCATTCCACGAGCATATATTTATGCCTGATTCAAATTCAGATCCACTTATTTTGTTAGAAAAATGTGAAGTACCGTTTGGTTTTTGAAAAGATACCAGTGCAATAATACAGACTATAAACAGGATCTTTATTGTATGTGCGTGCATATTGAATATTAAGTGTTTTATCAATACAATGCTTAGTTTCCATCATCATTGACGGACCAAATACTATCACCGACGCCTTTAGCCCGTAGTCGGGGACCAAAGTAACTGGGACCAGATTTACGGAACCACTCCCTGCATGTCACATATTCTGGCCATTCATAGTCATACATTAAGTAGTATTTGTTTTCCTCGGTGACATTAAGGCGTATGCCCACAGTGTCATCTGCATACTTATTTTTCACCACCTTAACATTATAAGCCCTAATGTTCAATTGACTCATAGTATCTAACATTTGTTTTTCAAGATCACCGGGGGTCTCATCAGACTCCATGGCAATATTTCTTACATATAAAGTGCATGTTTTTTCTCGTCTGACACCGTGCAGTCCGCGTTGTTGTGGATTCCTCGTAGATCTATATTGTCGTTTTCTCGTCACGGTAGTGAAACCATCCGTTGACTGTACAGGTGGTTTCTTAACTGCATCGATGCATGATAGTTGTTGCTCATGGTTAGTACAGTGATCGATGATCATATGCCAACTAAGGTATTTTTTTGATAATACTATAAAAATGGTCCATAACTTCACTGAGTCAAAGAGAGGGTTTACTTACATAATATTGCATTTAATTTAAGGCAGGAGCTACTAAATTGATGTTAACATGTATTGTTATATTTGTAAAACTATGGGCCTGAGGCCTTTTATTTGTTTGAAATAAACTAAACTTGAACTTGAAGTATTTTCTTTTAGATTTGGACGAAAGAAGCCTATGTTTCTATTCCATGTTGTATGTACAATCAGTCTGCTCATCAATTCATTCGTTCCAGAGAAAACAGGTAAGTTCTTTTCTCAAATATGTCCTCTCCAATAACATGTTAAGACTATTTCTATGATAAAACTAGGCCACACAATCAGATAATATGCGTGTCTGTAATTGTAGAGACGTATTGGTAAAGTTGATATTTTTCTATCTTTAGGAGATGGTGGTGATTTACTTCCACTGCTTATTACAATGTACATGTTAGGGAAGCTGGGAATAAGCGGATGCTACTTAATCACATTGTTCTTCACCCCTGAGTTGTTCCCTACAAGTGTTAGGTAAAGTATGAAGCCATCTTAGCACATTTTCCAAAAGCACTGAAACATATGGAACTAAGCTGTTTTACCAATGTACGCAGAGAATGCAGAGGTGGGTCGAACCAGTAGGGAGAGGCTGTCCGGTGACATGATTTCCAAGAAAGTGTTACTAGAATGTTAATGGCACTTGCTGCCTTTCGTTGTAACTCATATGCACACGCTCGGTCAGTAAAAGAAGATAGAAATTCATTAGAAGATCCCGTGGCTGTACAAAAGGAAATGAAGTAACTGAACAACAACAAGTCAATGCGACACACATTTCCACCTTTAAAACTCATATTTTCGGAAACAAAAAGTCATGAATGTTTCGACCAAAAGTCAAGTCAAAACATATTTAGTTAGTATATTTATTTTATTTATCGAATATAAATGAGTACCCAAATCATTTCAAGTTTTCAGTTCAATGCAATAGCTATAAATTTCAATTGGCAATTTCTATTCTTGAAAAGACACCACGAGGGTGTACATATTCCATGATTCATTACATTTTAAACTCATTTTATTTATGTATTTACTGATCGTATGAACTCGATAAAAGCTGGACCATTTCAGTTGATTTTTCGAGCTCTCACTGTCCCCCGCTTTCCATGTGTTTTTGACGCAATATTTCGTTCTGCTTATATGTCTTAATGTCTATTGGTCCGGAGTTGTGTCGCAACACACGTAAATATAGAGGTCATCGACATCATCCGGTATACAGTATCCCGGTAGTTGATTATCCGAGTCCCATCCACATGGAAACATGTCATCTTCTACCCGGCATTCCACAAACGTGTTGTTTGGGTACATGTCACTACAGTATTTAGTGCACTCTGTCGGGCATTGACCCAAACCTAAAGCATAAATGATTGGGTACGTGTCACTTCAATGCAATATACAGTGAAGTCTATCGTGCAATGACCCAAACCTTAAACATAAATGACTGGGTACATGTCACTACAATTAAAGTCTACTGGGCATTGGCCCAAACTTGTAATATAAATGGCTGGATATAGGTCACTATAATATGTAGTATAATCTGTCGCGTCTTGACCCAAACCTTAAACATCAATGATTGGGACACGTCACTACAATGTGTATTTTAATTTGTTAAAATATGCGATGAATGATCGATTTACCTTGTCCAACAAGGAACCAAATGCCGAGTAACAAAATGACACCGCATTCATACATGGCGAGACCTCGAGTGACCTAGCAGGGAACATGGTTCATGTAAATTAAATTCCATGGGAATGTTTTATAATTATCAGCTGCTACATTCGTGGCGTTCCAAATCTTATTTGTATGTAAAAGGCAGTTGATGACAAATTTGAAATATTTTCAATATAGTGTCGAATTTCATCCACCATGCCATTGTAATTTTTTGTGCGAGTTTATTTAAGAAATAAAGAGGGAAGAGTAGGTATTATGTCTTAGGGTTAGGCGCAAAAGCTTTCGAAGTCCCCGCCCCTTCGATGAATACATACCGGGTGAAATATTGACTGTATTCACAGTTTGTAGAAGGCACGAAGGCCCTACAATTCCCTGAACTAGAAATACTTCGAAAACCACTTTTGAGAATTAAAGACCAAAACATTCTTATAGTTCTATTACATTGTGATGAAAGAAACAGTATTGAAATGTTTATAAACATGTAATATATTATTTTTACAATTATTTTTACATGTTAAAAATGGAAACGTCACAGCATATGGAGTTAAGTGCCTTTGGTGCATTGACGTCAACGTAAAGTGTGCACATATTATGACATATCACAGCAAATGTAAAAATTTGGGTCGTTATCGTAATCATCTGGGATACAATAACTGTCGCGGATTTCTGGATAAACGCCACATGGTAAAGGATTTTCGAAATCATCGACTACACAGTCAGACTCCCCAAGGAAGATTTCTTCACAGTATAATACACATTCCGCAGGACATTGACCTATAGCCAGAATAAAACATATGGGCAATATTCGAAAAACATTAAGTAATATTTCACAAAACAAGCATATCTAAGTTGAAGTGGCCAAATAAAAAAAGTACAAGTTAATGAAAAAAGTATTATTATTATTAGACTCCAGATTGAAAATCTGGAGTCTATTGTTTTTGCCTGTTTTCTTATTAGACTCCAGATTGAAAATCTGGAGTCTATTGTTTTTGCCTGTTTTCTTTATTATTATTATTATTATTATTATTATTTTTCTTTCTTTTTTCTTCCTCCTCACCAAATTTCTCGTCAACTATAACAGCTTACTTAATCCAACTTACATGGTTAACTAAAGACTGAAACCGGCTTTCTAGGAAATTAGGTCAAATTTTTATCTAGGTCAAAGGTCAAGAACTAGGTCAAATCTTACATTTTCAACATTCTTCATCATATCTTCGTCAATATTCTTCTTAACTCCTTCATCTTTTTTTCATCGTGTAGCTTAGAAAAAGGCGAATCAAAGATATGACATCAGAATTTTGATTACTCTTACCGATTTTGAGATATGGCGTCCGAAATGTAGGTCACGCCTAAACATGCTCCAAATCGAATGTGTGAGCTATGAAAAAGATGTAGAATTTTCTCAGGAATCCAAATCTGCAAACCAAATTTGGATCGGACTTCCGGTCCGGAAATTTGGTGCCTATGTTAAGTCAATGGGAAAAAAGACTTATTCGAAGTGTAAAATACAGGATATTGACTGAGTACAGCTTAACATAATGAATGCTTATAAAAGAAGGGGACGTCAAAAGCTACATAGCTTCAAAATTTGGACACCAAAATGCCTAGGTCAAAATCTAGGTCAAATTCATAGTTTTTCCTTATTTTTACGATTCTGACACTACACTTTAATAATTTACTTCAAAATTTTGTATACAGGTAGCAAAGAGTGTGCTAATAGTGTTAGCCTTTTGCCGTCAGAAAGTATTTTGACCCACTTTTGAGATATGGTGTCCGAAAATTAGGTCAAAATAAAAAGTTCTCCAAATTCAACGTATGAGTTATGAATTATAGGTAAAATTTTCTCAGGAATCCGAATCTGCAAACCAAATTTCAATCCGACTGCCGGTTCGGAAGTTATGGCGTGTCCAAAAAGTAGGTCAAAATAAAAAGTTTCAAAATTTAACGTATGAGTTGTGAATTAGGGGTAGAATTTTGTCAGGAATCCGAATCTGCAAACCAAATTTCAATCCGACCCTCGGTTTAAAAGTTATGGCGTTTTGAAAGCTCAAAAATCGCTAAATATGGTGCCCCATGTTATGTCAATGTGAAAAAAGATTTTTTTGATGTGTAAAATACCAGATATTGACCGAGTACAGCTTATTATTCTGAAAGCCTATAGAAGAAGGGTACCTTGAAGGCTATCTAGCTTTAAAATTTGGACATCAAAATGCCCAGGTCAAAATCTAGGTCAAATTCATAGTTTTTCCTTATTTTTGCGTTTCTGACAATATACTTTAATGATTTGCTTCGAAATTTTGTACACAGGTAGCGAAGAGTATGCTAATAGTGGTAGCCATTTGCCGTCAGAAAGTATTTTGACCCACTTCTGAGATATGGTGTCCGAAATGTAGGTCAAAATAAAAAGTTCTCCAAATTTGACGTATGAGTTATGAATTAAGGGTAGAATTTTCTCAGGAATCCGAATCTTTAAACCAAATTTTGATTAAACTTCTGGTTAAATAGTTACAGCGGTTTGAAGTCTTGAAAAGTCGATATGATGATATCCCCATGTTAAGCCAATGGAGTCGAAGATAACATTCTTAAGAGTTGTCTAAATGTCTATATTCTGGCTGACTCAGCTTATTCTGAATGACTCAGCTTACAAGTAATTGGATGACTCAGCTTGAGAAAAGTTTGAAATCTGGAGTCTTAAATTGAACTTGTTCAATTTACATGTCTAGTTCTTTTTTCTTTCTTTCTTTCTTCCTCCTAACAGATTTTCTCTCCAACTATAACATCTTACTTAATCCAACCTACATGGTTGACTAGGGAATGTATCTGGCTTTCTGGGAAATTAGGTCAAATTTTTATCTAGGTCATAGGTCAAGAACTAGGTCAAATCTTACATTTTCAACATTCTTCATCATATCTTCGTCAATATTCTTCGTAACTCCTTCATCTTTTTTTCATTGTGTAGCTTAGAAAAAGGCGAATCAAAGATATGACATCAGAATTTTGATTACTCTTACCGATTTTGAGATATGGCGTCCGAAATGTAGGTCACGACTAAACATCCTCCAAATTGAATGTGTGAGCTATGAAAAAGATGTAGAATTTTTCCAGGAATCCAAATCTGCAAACCAAATTTCGATCCGACTTCCTGTTCGGAAGTTATGGCATTTTGAAAGCTAAAAAACGCTAAATTTGGTGCCCCATGTTAAGTCAATGGGAAAAAAGATTTTTTTAAAGTGTAAAATACTAAATATAGACTGAATACAGCTTAAGATAATGAAAGCCTATAAACGAAGGGGACCTCAAAAGCTACCTAGCTTTAAAATTTGGACACCAAAATGCCTAGGTCAAAATCTAGGTCAAATTTATAGTTTTAACTTATTTTTGCGATTCTGACACTACACTTTAATGATTTGCTTCCAAATTTTGTAGACAGGTAGCAAAGAGTGTGTTAATAGTGTTAGCCTTTTGCCGTCAGGAAGTATTTTGACCCACTTTTGAGATATGGTGTCCGAAAAGTAGGTCAAAATAAAAATTTCTCATAATTTAACATATGAGCTATGAGTTAAGGGTAGAATTTTCTCAGGAATCCGAATCTGCAAACCAAATTTCAATCCGACTTTTCGTTGGGAAGTTATGGCGTTTTGAAAGCTCAAAAATCGCTAATTTTGGTGCCCCATGTTATGTCAATGAGAAAAAAGATTTTTTTGAAGTGTAAAATACCAGATAAGGACTGAGTACAGCTTAAGATTCTGAAAGTCTATAAAAGAAGGGGACCTGGAAGGCTATCTAGCTTTAAAATTTGGACACCAAAATCCCTAGGTCAAAATCTAGGTCAAATACATAGTTTTTCCTTATTTTTGCGATTCTGGCACTACACTTTTAGGATTTGCTTCAAAATTTTGTATACAGGTAGCAAAGAGTGGGCTAATAGTGTTAGCCTTTTGCCGTCAGAGAGTATTTTGACCCACTTTTGAGATATGGTGTCCGAAAAGTAGGTCAAAATAAAAAATTCTCCAAATTTTACATATGAGTTATGAATTAAGGGTAGAATTTTCTCAGGAGTCCGAATCTTTAAACCAAATTTCAATCTAACTTCTGGTTAGATAGTTATAGCGGTTTGAAGTCTCGAAAAGTCGATATGATGATATCCCCATGTTAAGCCAATGGAGTCGAAGATAAAAAATTGAGAGTTGTCTAAATGTCTAAATTCTAGCTGACTCGATCAGCTTATTCTGGATGACTCAGCTTACAAGTATTCTGGATGACTCAGCTTAAAAAAAAGTATTAAATCTGGAGTCTTAAATTGAACTTGTTCAATTTACATGTCTAGTTATTATTATCATTTATTTGCCTGTATTTAAACAGAGTAGTTTAACACATTATAAATTACAATCTATGTATTGTGAAATCGAACATAAAAATAAACCAATCTATATTACTTAAAGGAACACAGTGTGAAAACAGAACACAGTTAAACAATGTAGCCTGATGCTAAAAATAAGTAATTTGCTAAATGTTATTATTACATGCTTTGTGATATTATTATCATTATCAGATCGAGTTCAGGATGACATTACGATAACCTTAAAGCAACTTACCCTTTACAGCCAATGTGCAGGAAAGTAAAATGAAAATAATTAGTAACTTCGCCAATTTAGTCATGTCCCACTCTATCAATGACTCCTAAAATAAATGCACTTTAAAGTACTTTCTTTGCCAGTGTACTTCGTAGCTTGTTAATAAAAAGTACAAAAAAAGTAATCATTTTATTGGTTTATTGGTAACATTTGTTTTTACAGTTTTTATCCCAGGGTGTATAAACCACGTCAGCAACGTCAGAATTTTAAGTGTGGCTTTTGGGATAAGTAATCCGCCATATCTGAAATTAAAAAGAAAAGATGTATTAACTATACAACTAAGAATAGGCACTCAGTGCCTAATTCTAGATTAAAATTTTGTGACATTTAAATTAGTTTTCCAAGTTAATATAAGCTCCGTATTATTGTGCTTGACCTTAATGGCATTGGCTGATTGAACTTTGTCCAATTAGGTCTCGATATAAACCAATGTACGTATATATAGCAAATGTCGTAATTTGGAGAAAAAGTTGTCATAATATGTAGTCTAACAATTATGTAAGCTTTCGTCAGACTGTACCATGTGATTGTGTTGTTATCATTATTATGTACATGAGGTCACGTGACCAGATATGATGCAACCAATAAAGCGATACTTAGAAGTCACTGATCTATGAGTTCAGTTCAAAAGTATTGTAATTTGAAGAGCAAATGCCGTAATTTGGAGAGCAAGAGTCGTAATATTGAGAGCAAATATCGTCATTTGGAGAGAAGTGTAGTAATTTGAGAACAAGTGTCGTAATTTTGGACCAAATGTCGTAATTTTGAGAGCAACTGTTTTGAGAGCAAGTCTCATACTTTGGAGAGTGAATGTCGTAATTTGGAGAGCAAGTGTCGTAATTCGGAGACCATGTATCGACATTTGGAGAATAACTGTTACAACATGTGCAGTTGGTAATAGGAACACTATTACCAAAAAAGAGTAACATACACTTTATCCTAAAAACAACAAATGTAGAAGCTGCCATCATTCGGGTCATCCGGAAAACAAGTGCCTATGTTTTCCCCTATGTCATCGCATGGTAGGAAGCTCGTGTCATTTACACATACTGCGAGTGGTCCAAACTCAGCATCGCACCATTGTGTGCATTCCGTTGGACATTCTCGTTGACCTAGGGGACGAAGGAATACAATCTCAATTTTATGTTATGAGATCCTAACCTTATCCTATTGCACCTCATCGTAGCAACACACATAGAGGTTGTCGTCCGGGTAGTCTGGGACACAGTTGCCTAAAATGGTTTCTGTGGCGGCACAAGGGGATGTACTGAGGTCATCCAGTCTACATGTAATGCCTTCGATTGTGGGAAACGGATCTTGACAAAAGTTCTCACATTCGACTGGACAGATTTGACCTAGAAGTTATCAAACATAGATATTTCATAGGAGACCATTTTAACACAATAGATTAATTGCACATTGATAACCAGACCCGTAGCCCCCCCCCCCCACCCCTCCCCCGGCAAGGAATTCTTCTAGAAGAATGCAGCTTTCTATCCATTTTGACATGTTGAGATCTTTTCAAGAGGTTTTGTTAGTTTTTCTCCATTTTTACAATTGTAAAATTGTACAATTGTACAATTGTACAATTTCCCCCGCTCTAGAATATATTTATATAACAAAAGACAAAAGCTGGCTACGAACCTTGTGACCATAACTGATCAAGTTTTGGAAGAAGTCGTCTTGGAAAACAGAGGATAAAAATTAAATCATTTCAGTGGAATAGTTCAGTAGGAATTCGCAAGGGTCAATATTATATAATATATAAGCACTAGTGCCAAAAGGAAAATACCAAAAGTTGTAATGGAACTTAGCAAGAAAAAGCAAACTCTAAGTGCATACAAGTCAAGAAAAACAAACCCCATATAGCCCAAAACAATGATCTAACGTGAAAAGAAACATTGTCTAATACCCCCTTTCCCCCACCATTCAAGAACCAATATCACAATCTGAAACGTTTAAAATAATACTCATTAAACGTTTAATGTTATAAATGATTTCTTGGGTTCAAAATTGTCATAGATAAAATCAACTTTCAACATACTTATGTACATTAATAGATGAAAAATAAGATTATCATATTCATAAATGTTTATACACTGTAGGTTTAGTAAATATTCTAAATAGGATTGTCTGAAGTTTCCGCAAATAGCGACAAATCATTCCTCTCGTATAAAATTGACACTCTTACACAAAAATAAGATATACAAATAAAATATGATATTCTTCCGTACAAACGACGATTCACAAGAATATCAGACGAATGGACATATAGAGCTGCGCAATAAATGATGACGTAATCAAACGCTTCATAAGTTACGTATACGTTATGTATGAATAATATGCATGCTATACGTGAGTTACGAAATTTCTTTTTATGGATCTTACTTTACTTAAATGCTGACAAGATATCAGTGCACAATTACAGAAGAACGATGACATAATTAAAGAATAGCTTAACACTAACCTTTAGCGACCCCAACGGCCAAGAGAAGAACTAACGCAATATGCATTCTTAGTTTTTGTTGATGCCTCAATTAATGTTAAAGAAAATGCCTTGAACATATATTACAACAATATGAATTGAACTGTTGATTATGACGCAGAGTTGATATGTTATCAGAAAACGTACCTTTTAATTTGTAATCAATCATCCCATGGCCATCACAAATTGTGAACTTTTATCAACGTTCATAAAACCTACTGCCGGCCATAAGGGTGTTTTATATGTATGCACCCCCTCTGAACTCAAACACAGTATTTCCACGCTATCATGCTATCTAGAATTGTCTACCTTGTGAAAAGTTACATGAGATCCAAAGTTTCAGAATCGAGGGGTATCCTTGAAAATGATGTACAATGTATCACACTGTATCAAAGTGCTTATGATTTTACAAATCATCCTACTTGAATGTAATTGTTTTTATTTTTCAGGAATGTTTGTTTGGGAATCGCCTCACTAGCTGGAGTGCTGGGAGCCATTGTCGCTCCGTATATCCTGGAATTGGTGAGGAGATTCAGTTTTAATGATATGAATTAAATACGAGTCAATAATTGCACTTTCTCCTTCTTTCATTTGCATATTGATATTATGACCATTATTGTAAACAAATCACTTACTTATTTGGGAGTTTCGAGGTTTACGATATATATAAGTTTTAAAGAGCGCTAACGATCTATGAGCGCCTCATTCTGTTTTCTACGTGAGTTATTTCTCTTACTAACGTTATTACGCAAAATATCCTTTGTATATTTTTCCATTGATTGTCTGAGTTAAGATTTTTCACGCTTCTTGCTCAGTTTATCTTAAATATATTAGACTTACATGGCGCCTTTAATAAACGTCAATCACGCCTTTAATATACGCCATTCACGCCTTTAGTATACGTCATTCACGCCCTTTACCCGAATTACGTCTTTGTTAAACGTCACTCACGTCTAAATATACGTCAATTACGTCTTTGATATCCACCAATCGCGTCTTTTAGTTACGTCAATCACGCCTTTAATACATGTCAATCATGTCTTTAATATACATAAATCACGCATATGATATACGCCAAATACGTTTACCACATACGCCAATCACGTCTTCAATATACGCCAATCACGTCTTTAATATAGGCCAATCACGTCTTTGATATACGCCAATCACGTCTTCAATATACGCCAATCACGTCTTCAATATACGCCAATCACGTCTTCAATATACGCCAATCACGTCTTCAATATACGCCAATCACGTCTTTAATATACGTCAATCACAATCCATTTGGCATCTACATTATATAAGTAACATCAATACACATTCGTATTCTTCCAGGCTAGTATAGGTGAATGGCTTCCCGGTGTTGTTTTCAGCGGTGTGTCACTCATCGCTGGCTTTATCATCCAAACACTTCCGGAGAGCGTCAACCTTCCCTTGCCGGAGACAGTCGAAGATGTAGAGGCGATGCCACGTGAGCCAACCAGCAGTAACGTGGTCTGGGAGGACTACCAAGCCGCCACGGAGATCGATATATACGACGCCATGTATGACGGGTTTCAGCCAAGCCCAAACATTCCAACCATTCATGAAGATGATGAGATTGATAACGGAATGGATATTGATAATAATTCTGCTGCTGCTAATGCTGGTGATAAAGAGGGCGCTAAGTCTTAGTTACTTGATATTACATGCTTACATGTGCCAAATCAGAGATAGTTTATGGGCAAATTCAAATAGTTCATTGTTGTTTGATGACGACATATCTCCCAATTCGAATCCAACGACAGGTGATTTGTGACTACAGACGCAATTTAAAGAATATCTATAAGTTGATCGACTTTTTAGGATCACAAACCCTCTGTTGACAAGATATCAAGTCGTATATTAAAACGAGTTGTATGCCAACAAGGATTTTCAACAATATAAACGGAAATGATCGAGAAATCAAGATGCTAAGAGTCTTGTTGGTTTTCTGCATATTATGACAAATAGCACGACCAAACCTGCCCTCTATTCACCCATATACATGGTATCAAATAAATAGGATTTCTCCTTATCTTAACAAACACAGTACCCCCAATGACAAAATTATCCTTACTGAGGCCTTAGACACAGACCAAGTACAGGGTGGTCAAAAACGGCAACCCTGTATTTTCCTCATATCTTTGTCATTTTAGAGTCATCCTATCAGCCTACCGTATGCCATGACCATCAGACTGATAGTTACAATGTTACGGCACTTTAAACAACATGCCCCAGGTCTGGCCATTATCGCGCTTAGGCAAACTTGGTATCATAAATCAACATAAATTAATCACATTTAGAAAATGCATCCCATTCATTTTCATTCCCCAGTGTATTAAGTACTAGGTAGTAATTATGTAAAATCGAGGGATTGTATTTAAAGTATTTTTGCTGCACAATCAAATATATTGCTCACTCTCCTCAAGAGCACTAGGTCTGCTATTAGTTGTGCTGCGATTAGAAAATATTAAGTTATAAATGCACGACATTATGTAACATGAGATATGTAATCTAACACACGCAATGCTTTAAAGTGACAATTAACTTGAATAGGGTTGCTTAACCACTTGAGGATTGCAGTAATTGATGAGATAATGAAGATCAAAGCTAAAATAAAGCAAAAAGTACTTTAAGTCACAGTTTATTACATAAATTATAATTTTACAAAAACATCAAATTTAACGTACACTTCAGACAAAAAGCATTAATCAAAAATTAAACCAAATTATTTTCCTTAAATGATATTTAAACACGATTTATAGCAACAAATTGAGTTTCTAAAAGAGTTGGTGTAAGGTCATCTATTAACTGTACCAATTGAGTTTTCATATGGGCCAGATTAGTTGATGTAAGGTTATTCACTAACGGTACCATTGAGTTTTCATATGGGCCAGAAGAGTTGTTGCAAGATCATTCACTGACGGTACCAGTAAGGCCATTCTCTAACAGTACCAATTGAGTTTTCATATGGGCCAGAAGAGTTGGTGTAAGGCCATTCTCTAACAGTACCAATTGCGTTTTCTTATTGGCCAGAAGAGTTGTTGTAAGGTCATTCACTGACAGTACCAATTGAGTTTTCTTATGGGCCAGAAGAGTTGTTGTAAGGTCATTCACTGACAGTACCAATCGAGTTTTCATATGGGCCAGAAAAGTTGTTCTAAGGTCATTCACTGACAGTACCAATTGCGTTTTCTTATGGGCCAGAAGAGTTGCTGTAAGGTCATTCACTAACAGTACCAATGGAGTTTTCATATGGGCCAGAAAAGTTGTTCTAAGGTCATTCACTGACAGTACCAATTGCGTTTTCTTATGGGCCAGAAGAGTTGCTGTAAGGTCATTCACTAACAGTACCAATGGAGTTTTCATATGGGCCAGAAGAGTTGTTGTAAGATCATTCACTGACGGTACCAGTAAGGTCATTCACTAATAGTACCAATTGAGTTTTCTTATGGGCCAGAAGAGTTGGTGTAAGGTCATTCACTGACGGCACCAATTGCGTTTTCTAATGGGCCAGAAGAGTTGTTGTAAGGTCATTCACTAATAGTACCAATTGCGTTTTCTTATGGGCCAGAAGAGTTGTTGTAAGGTCATTCACTGACAGTACCAATTGAGTTTTCTTATGGGCCAGAAGAGTTGTTGTAAGGTCATTCACTGACAGTACCAATTGCGTTTTCTTATGGGCCAGAAGAGTTGTTGTAAGGTCATTCACTGACAGTACCAATTGCGTTTTCTTATGGGCCAGAAGAGTTGCTGTAAGGTCATTCACTAACGGTACCAATTGAGTTTTCATATGGGCCAAAAGAGTTGATGTAAGGTCATTCACTAACAGTACCAATTGAGTTTTCATATGGGCCAGAGGAGTTGATGTTAGGTCATTCACTGACAGTACCAATTGCGTTTTCTTATGAGCCAGAAGAGTTGCTTTAAGGTCATTCACTAAAGGTACCAATTGAGTTTTCATATGGGCCAGAAGAGTTGTAAGGTCATTCACTAACAGTACCAATTGAGTTTTCCTATGGGCCAGAATTAGAGTTGTTGTAAGGTCATTCACTGACAGTACCAATTGAGTTTTCATATGGGCCAGAAGAGTTGATGTTAGGTCATTCACTGACAGTACCAATTGAGTTTTCATATGGGCAAGAAGAGTTGCTGTAAGGTCATTCACTGACAGTACCAATTGAGTTTTCATATGGGCCAGAAGAGTTGATGTTAGGTCATTCACTGACAGTACCAATTGAGTTTTCATATGGGCCAGAAGAGTTGTTGTAAGGTCATTCACTGACAGTACCAAGTGAGTTTTCAAATGGGCCAGAAGAGTTGTTCTAAGGTCATTCACTGACAGTACCAATTGCGTTTTCTTATGGGCCAGAAGAGATGGTGTAAGGTCATTCACTAACGGTACCAATTTCATTGATTCAGTTAAAGGTGGCGAAGCCTTTTTATATGCATACTAGTAATGTAAATCGTTGAATTAAATGAACATTGAAGAGATTTAGCGAATGCAGATAAATGTACAGTATATAGTCCAAAATTAAAAACACGACCATATTAATTTGAATAGATTTATTAGACTATAAGATTATACACCTTATGAGTATAACTATTATTATTACATTAAGCATTATTTAGTGGATCCATCCTACAAAACCAGTCGCTCTCTTTGAAGAGTTTTCGTCGTATTGCCAAAATTTTCATCGGCGCAACAAACATATAAGTTCTGATTTGGTGGGTCGGGGATACAAGTAGCAATGATCACATCATCGTTGTTACAGGGCCATACGTCTATTTCTCCCGTTTCTAAGTTACACCATAAACCCGTGTGGTTGCCCAGCGTGCCTTCGTCGTCGCAGAATAGTTCGCACTCAATGGGGCATTCCTGACCTATTTAAATTATTTAATATTATATTAAATAAATAAAACAAAACTTATTGTACACTACTTAACATTGAATAAAGGATAAATAATGAGCCATTGGTATTAGGTGAAATAATAGCCAACGGCCGACAATGTCGAGGCTATTTTATTCTCCTAAGACCCAGTATGAATAATTTATCTAACTTAAACCCCACACTGACTCTTATGTGAGGTAGATGGTCCTTGATCTTATCTGGAAATTTTGATTTCTTTTGTTTTGACTGTTCAACTAGATTTTAGTGAATTGATACATGTAAGTGAGTGAGTGGGCTACAAATTATTTAGTTTCAAGGTACTGTATGAATCAGTCCCTGTACAGTGTGAAATTTGTTTTCTTTTTATTTACCAACTATTTTTCAACTATTGAGTGAGTGAATAAAAGTGTTTAGTTCGGTTTCAGTGCCCTGTATGTGATAGTCCAGGTGTAAATTTTGACCATGGATCAAGTAGAGGTTTTTAGTAAGTTTAGATCACTACTGTAACTTGCAACACAAATCGATTTGCTTTGATATATTTGTTTTATTTTAAAGGATGCACAGTAACAAAATAAGAGTAAATGTACATTTTGTGTATTGTTTTTAAATGATGAAAACTATCAAAAACTGTCATTTGTATTTTGTAGCTTGCCAGGTGTCGATTCATGAAAAACATTTCAAATAATTTACAGTTGTATCAAAAGAAGTGTACATTCCATCACTATTAATGTACACTTCTTTTGATACAACTGTAAATTATTTGAAATAAACTACAGTTCATTCTATTGTTATGCTTCAAAAGTGGGGTTTCTGAATCATTTTTATGAACAAGATGGCCAATTGATATATACGTTTGTACGATGTTAAGAATACATACAATTATCGTGTTTCACAAGAACAACCATACATATACTGTATATTATATTTTTGATTACTGCAAAAGTGTGCGCTACATCTACGTCTAGGTTTCCAGCTGAGTGCTCTTCAATTGCATTATCGGCGATTACTTAGGATTGTGTTGTCTGATTCAATCTGGCTCAATTGCAGTTTATGAATAATATATTGCAAATTCTTTAATTGATCCATGTTTCATGAAAAGGATCTCACCTTTGACAATCCCTATGGCTAATAACAAGACCAGTGCACGATTCATGACTCCAGTCAAATGTATTGTAGCTACTGGGTAAAAGCTAAATGCAAGGTGACTGGACTAAACGTCTCGTTGTTCTTTATATGATTCCCATATCACTTATAAAAAGTCTTGTGAAGGTCTTTTAACGCCACCTGTGTGCCATACAAAGATGACGTTTTTGTTTCTCAGATGATAATGTCGTATCTAATGAAGACAAGTCAAGAAGAGTGTTGGTTAACTTTATTTGGATATAAACTAAATCTTTTCAAGGGATTACTAGGGACTGAAACGTAAGTTTATTTCAGGATAATTTTTTCATTTTTAAAATTATCTGTTAGAAAACAAAAAGGAGACGTTAAGATCATACAGGAAACATAGATATGTTTCTAACATACCATTCTCTCTAATAGTCTTATCCCTTCAAACAATTCTAATCGGCAAGTAGAAACAAAAAGCGGGTACACTGATAACACTCGAGATACTTTATTTTAATGTAGCCTAATACATCAATATGTCCCTTTAAACAGCTGCTTCGAATCCCTTCAATATATCTACTTGCACAAATCAATAAATTATATTTTTTGTCTAAAATGTGAGATAACAGAAGTATACTGTTTATAACAAGAACGCATGGCCTTTTTAAGCAACTTGGTGTACATTAATTTCTGTAATATTTGCGAGAATAACAAAACGATTAATCCGACGTCGTTGAAAGCTATTACCCAAAAGAAAAAGTACTACGAACTTTAAATTCAACATTGCCTTTATTTATTTATAAGTTAACATATAGAAAGTCTCAATCACCATAGCTAGCATATGGAGTCTTGGTTCTCACAAGAGCACATCGTTCTTCTTTCCTGAGTCTCCAAAGCACCACGGACGAAAGCCAAGGGGTTTGGTTCAAAAGGGTGGGTGTGGTCGAATGTAAAGTTTTACAGCCAGCATGACTATTTTAGATAACATTACAAACAGCGAACGTTCACTCTGCATCTGGTGTATTCTTATGGGATATTAGGTATAATGGACAACTCATAAAATATACTGAAAAACGTTACATTAAACTGTCAATTCCAAATGGTAAATTTGATAGTGACCTAATAATATTTTACCCCAAGGTTTATACTCAGAAAGAGGCATAAGGGAACCATGCGATTAACACACCTGTTATTATACAATATATGTGACATTTTGGAACTTTCATTTGTCATAATCAGTTGTAACTGACATAATTGTCAGTGACGTGGGCACGTTTTTTTGTCACCAGAGCATTTAAATGCAGAGTTGACCATAGTCATAGCCTTGACAAATCGAGTTGTCAGTTAAATGCACACAATCTTGTCGCCATAAAACAGAGTTGTATGTTACGTGCGCACGCTTTCGTCGCCATAACCTTAAAAACGAGTTGTCAGTTACATGCACACAATCTTGTCGCCATAAAACAGATTTATCAGTTACGTGCGCACGCTTTTGTTGTCGGAATTTGTCTCACTGGATGAAGTAGCATCGGCTCTGTACTTGTACCTACCACATGTGATTCTAACTAGAACCATTTTAATGAACGTAATGTAGCCAGTTCGGTACTGTTTATTGGCTAGGCCATACGTGATGAAGTTGATTGCGCTGTTGGTATGATACATTTGGCTAACGATACTGTACACTATTGGCGGCACAACATTGTTAGAGTCAAGCATAACTATGAATGCATATGGGCCGCAAAGTAACACGTAAAGTGCAAACATCGAAAATAACATAACGGCAAGTCGAACGTCATTCCGTTCCTTGGATTTCGATTGTTCTCCGTGGACGGCAAGTTTCAGTTTTGACTTCCGTACGTGCAGGAATATACTAAAATACGCCATTGCAGTAACACATACCGGGATGATCGCTCCAATGAGCGTGATGGTTATCACATATGAGCGGTCCCTTGTTCGGCTATAAAGGCAAAAATAATTACTTTTATCGTAAGCGTAGCTGTTCCAGCCAGCAAAAATGAAAGTGTTCCAGAGCACCCCAGATATCCAAGCATATGCTATCATAACAATTACACTCCTCTTGGTGTATATCCTTAAATACCAAGAATTCCTACAGATGCATAAATATCTGTTAATGCTAACAGACATAATATTAATTCCCGAAGCTACACAGCTTGTGATGCAAATGAAACCAATCAGTTGACAGAACCTATATCCTGGGCCAGTAAAGTAATTTTCCCCCAACGCAACTATTGCAATTAAAAAGGGGGTTAACAATCCTGAAACCACCAAATCCGCGATCGCTAAATTTAAGACGAACATGTTCGGTAAAGTTCGAAGTTGCTTCATGATTACAATGGCTCCAATAATCAATGTATTGCCGACAAGTCCCGTCACTGTCAACAAACCTTCGAAGCTGATATAAAGTGTCAAAAACGGTATGTCGTCACGGAGAGTCATTGTAACGTTATGACTGCCAACGCTATTCCTCACGGTGTCTGAAAAAATTGACGATGGTACATTATTTATTTAAGTTCAAACGTTATTTATAAGGTATTCCAAATTCTTATTTTTTGTTCTACATTATTATAACATTGGCAAAAAATTATATAATTATTTCCGCATTCTAAACCTGTAAAATTCTTACCCATCTCCAAATATGATATAATATCCCAGTGATATATTATCCTCGACGAATTTGTGTGCTTATAACTTGAATTATTTAATTGTAATAAGCCAATGTGAATTGGGAATCTATAATACTTGGTACGATTTCCCGTGGGACCTCCAGCTTTTAATTGGCTATTAATATGGCAATGATAATGGATCTATTCGAGTGGTAATACGGTATTAACAGTGTAGACCCAGCGTAGATGTGCACTATCAGTTTCCAACCTCTTCCAGATAAATAGCACTGAAGTGGAATTTATGCAAATAATATGACAGCAAAGATAGAGTACAAACCTGCAAATTGCAGGAATAGCGTTGGCAGTCATAACGTTACAATGACTCTCCGTGACGACATAACGTTTTTGACACTTTATATCAGCTTTGAAGGTTTGTTGAAACAATTGTTTCCCTTTTTATATACGCGTATTATAATAGCTGGAAAATTGACAGAGTTATCAGGTTAAATAGTGAATATTTAGGATGCACTTGTGATTTAAATCTGATCAAACATTGACACACTTTAAGCTTGACATCTACTTTCAAACTAATTGCCAGTGGAAATCCAAGAGTTATCGGGAAATAAAGTCAGAACCGTTTTTTACAAAATAAGAAATGTCAGTGGACTTTCTTGACAAGTAAATATACTGGATGAGCATAATGTAAAAGTGGTTTTGAAAAGTAGCAAATTTCTCTTTATGTAGGTTTTTTGTGGTTTATTATTCTACATTGATTCTGAAACTATTGGTGTCTAGTTTTTCAGCGTTTTGGAAATATGCAGATTTATACCCCCCTGGTGTTATTTTAAGGGGGGTCCTAGGAAAGCCATGTATAATTCCTAGAGTATCCAACCAATCATCTTGAAATTTACAGGTAATCATCTTCTTATCATGTCCTATCATTGTGAGCAGTTTCATCAATATTGGTTAGCTGGTTGCTATGGTAACAGAAATCACTTGTTAAAAAAGTACACATTTCGTAAAAATTTAAGACCTACCCTGAGACAAAGCACATAATATTTTCCTGGAATTGGGAGGAATTAGCATGAAAACATATTAGAAAACTTATTTAGAGTATGGTTGATAATACTAAATCAATTGATGTTTTATTTTAGCCATACAATTAATTATATTTGCCGATGATAATATGGCTATGCAAAAAATGTGTAAAAGGGGGCGTGGCACTTTTCCCAAGAAAACTTTATTTGTACCCAAGTTTGTGAATAAATATATGACTATTCATTCTGATATTAACAGATATTAGTATAGTTATGATGTTTAACCATCATGGGAAGTTTCGCTATTGTTGGTCTGCTGGTTGTTATGGTAGCAGAAATCATTTGTTAAAACAGTTGACCATTAAAGGGGTATGGGGTATATTATCTAATTAAGGATATAAACTTTGTCTTCAAATATACATTCATGGCTTTGTGAGGTCATCAATGTGATTTTATTTATGTGTGCTTAATTTGCATCTTTGAATGAAGTTTTGAGGAAAACGCATTTTAACAAAATCAAATAAATTATTGTTTATATTAAATAAATTCATTAATCTCATTCTGGATGATACTAATTTATCACTCACTCACATGCCTACCTATATATTTGTTTCTTTTTAAATCAACCTGATATCTTTATGAAATATACATGTTTGAGTGATTCCCGTCATGCTCAATATCCAGATAGAAAATAATGTTATTCATAAAAATAGTTAATAATTCCTATTTGATATAACAATAATACCAAATTTAGAGCATTATTTAAATGTTGCAATTAGAATTTAGACTTCATTAATGTGATGGCAAATTAAATCTGCATTCCTAGGAATAAGTTGTATATGCAATGATAAATCAGTTGTTGATATGAGCTTTTGTTGTCAATGTTATGCTTCAATTACCACAGTTCATGCCTTCTTGATTAGCTGTGCAGACCTGATGAAATAGATATACGTTGTGTGGTTAAGCTGTGCTACATCTAGATAGAGGTGAGTGATTGTGGGTAAATACAGTGAGTGATTTTGGACAGGTGAGTGATTTAAGTCAGGTGAGTGATTTAAGTCAGGTGAGTGATTTTGGACAGTGGTTCCAAACAGTGCGGTGCAGTTGCCTAACTGATTACGGGGCAGTTGCGAGTGATTTTGGACAGTTGTTCCAGACAGTGCGGTGCGGTTGCGTAACTGTGTAGATGCAGAGGCATTGTTTATTTTCTTTATTTTATAATTTTAGGGTGAAGTCAAGGTAGGTGATCTAATACACATTGTTTATGTGTGCTGCATACAGATAAAGTTTAGTGACTCTGTGTTAATAGATTGAGTGATTTTGGACAGTGGTTCCAGACAGTGCGGTGCGGTTGTGAGTGATTTTGGACAGTGGTTCCAGATAGTGTGCTGCGGTTGCAGTTGTGCTATATACACAGTTATTCCTTATTTTTTACTTTTACGTTTCAGTTAAGGTAGGTGATTTAATACACCATCGTTTAGTTTCCATTATTGCATCGTGGAGTGTTGCCCTTCCAATATATATACTTTTTTCCATATATCATGCAACTGAGTAGAACCCTGTAAATCAATGTATTAGTGTTGTTACGTATATATCATGTCCGCGAGAAGTTTGAGGAAAAGATCCTCTGCTCTAGCAATTGGTGAAGAATGTCATAGTAAGAAATTACGCCAAAGCAACCTTTTTGAACAAAACAAGTGCCTCTTTTGTGAAAAAGATCTGAAATATCTCAAAGGAAACACAAAAGAATCATTAACAAAATGCCAAACAGACAACGCTTCAACATCAATAATAAATGCAGTGAAAGCCCAAGAAGACTGGACTTTACATGCAAAAATAGGAGGACGCTGTTTGATATCAGCAGAAGCTTGGTACCATAATACCTGTAGAAGAAATTACTTGTGCAAGAAAGTACGAACGATAAATGAAGAGGAAAAGGTATTAATAACATCATTTGACGTCATATGTAAGCATATAGATGAACATGTCCTTCAAACCGATGGAGTTGAAACACTTGAACATGTCCATGAGCTGTATCAGGCACATATGAAGGAAAACAATCTGAGTGACTATAACCCCAAATATAAACAGCTCTTCCTGAAGAACAAACTTTCTGTTCGCTATAAAGATGACCTTTGTTGCAATCTACTCTTAATTGCCTTTCATTTGAGTATAATAAAGCTATACTTCAGAAAGATCTAAAAATTAGCGAAAATTTCTGTTTTCCTGAAAAACACAGAATATATGTGAAATAGATAGATGTTGCGAATATAAATATATAAATTATATATAATAATATAAATTTCAAACAATAATATTAATTACTTTGGTTTAGAATGAAAAATTTATGATTTTTGCGAAAAAGTCCCGTCATTTTTAAAGCGGTGGCCATCTTGAAAAAAAAAATTTTGCGTAAAACTATTCATCAATATACATCTTTCCACCAAATATGAAGAAAATCCGTCAACTAATATTTGAGTTATCTTCCGGACGGACGGACGGACGGACTGACTGACTGACTGACTGACAGACTGACGGACAGACTGACGGACGGATGGACGGAGGGCTTAACTATATCCCTACCGAACTTCGTTCGTTGGGATAATAATGTAGATATCAAGGAAAAATGACATTATTTTTTCACTTTGAACACAAATAAAGAATTCTTAGGAAATTGTGCCATGGCCCCTTTCTAATTTTTTTGCAAAGCCAGTTTACCATCAGCAAGTAGAATTCTTTGTATGGCTAAGATAAAGCATCAATTGATTTAATTTTATGAAACATACTCTAAATAAATTTTCTAAAATGTTCTCATCCTGACTGTCATAAAAATATTATGTGTTTTGTGTCAAGGTATGTCTTAGATTTTTAAGAAAATACAATCTTTTTTAACAAATGATTTCTGTTACCATAACAACCAGCAGACCAACAATAGCCAAACTTCCCATGATGGTTAAACATCATAACTATACTAATATCTGTTAATATCAGAATGAATAGTCATATATTTATTCACAAACTTGGGTACAAATAAAGTTTTCTTGGGAAAAGTGCCACGCCCCCTTTTACACATTTTTTGCATAGCCATATTATCATCGGCAAATATAATTAATTGTATGGCTAAAATAAAACATCAATTGATTTAGTATTATCAACCATACTCTAAATAAGTTTTCTAATATGTTTTCATGCTAATTCCTCCCAATTCCAGGAAAATATTATGTGCTTTGTCTCAGGGTAGGTCTTAAATTTTTACGAAAATGTGTACTTTTTTAACAGGTGATTTCTGTTACCATAGCAACCAGCTAACCAATATTGATGAAACTGCTCACAATGATAGGACATGATAAGAAGATGGTTACCTGTAAATTTCAAGATGATTGGTTGGATACTCTAGGAATTATACATGGCTTTCCTAGGACCCCTCTTAAAATAACACCAGGGGGGTATAAATCTGCATATTTCCAAAACGCTGAAAAACTAGACACCAATAGTTTCAGAATCGATGTAGAATAATAAACCACAAAAAACCTACAAAAAGAGAAATTTGCTACTTTTCAAAACCACTTTTACATTATGCTCATCCAGTAATATTGTTAACAGGTCTTTCGCTAATTTATGATGTAAATTAATTGATATTTAGATATGATAGTCCAGGTACGTATAGGAAACAGTTCTTCGATATTAAACCACACTTAGGTAGGAACATAATATAACAATCTGTATTTTATTTTTAAGAATACCCAGAGGAGTGCATTATTTTTCTATTGTTTTTTTTAGGATGTACACTTAATATTAGCTATCCAAAACCAGTGTGGTACAAAATATGATTGACCGGTGTAAAAGGGTAGGAGGTCCTATCAAATCATGATCCTACTCTACATTGATTTATATGGTGACCTAAATACAACACTTTCCCTCATTACCTTATACGCAATCGGGGCCAGTAAGGGCCGTTAACAAAGGGGACCATAATCCCTGGAGGACCATCATTTCTTTTACACCGGCTCATGCAGTGCACTAAAATTGAACTCATTATACCGTATTCACCGA